AAATTCTTTTTTTAATTCACAAAATTAAATATACATTGTGCATGTATGAAGATCTGAGCAACAAAAAAGTGAAAGAAAATCTTAAAAAACAAATTTTTTAAAATTTTGCATATGTAAAGTGAAAAAAATGGTTTGTATTTTTGGTTTAAAAAAAAAAAAAAAATTCTGAAATTTTAAAAAAATTAAAGCAATGTTTCCCCACTGTAAATTTGAACAAAGAAGACAAAACCCATAACCTGCACAATATATTCCCTCAAATATTTTGACATTATCTCGTCAGGTGCATTTTACAGTAAAAATTAAATACAACATAAAAAGAGCAGCACATTTCAAAATCGTGTGTAGATGCTAAGATGCTTAAGCGTAAAAATTTGTGTAACGGGGGAGCTGGTGTGCTCTTACAATCTAGCAAAACAGGCAGTTTTTTTTGGAGGGAATTTTAGTTAACTGTTAGTATAGTATGAACCTTACGAGACAAGCACAATATGCCAAGCAATAAATTATGCAAATTACTGCTTGCATCTTCTTTATAAACGCAAATTATCAGTCTTTTGCCATGCAACCCTGGAATTCAGCATTTACGCCAGAATGAACAGAAAAAAAAAACATTCTCTAAGGAAATGTATACAGTCATTTTAAACAAAAAAAATTGTATTTAAACATCAAATATTTAAAAATACGGCACGGCACAAATAACACTAAGTAGTCATCATTTGAAACTACAAACAAGATTAATACCAGACTTAGAATGAACTTAAAAAAAAGAAAGTCTTGCACAAACATTTAAAACAAGTTGGAAAAAAAAATTATAAAAAAAATTATAAAAAATTTTTTTTTTTTTAAATTGCAGCTGCGATTGGATGGTAGTCAGTGCAAATGCCTGATGAGACAATTGTCCGGGGTCAAATCCCTGAATATAACAGGATGTTCTGCAACCAGTGCAGATTTAGAGATCAAACTGGTCTCATAAAATTGGGTCAAGGACACCTGTTCACGCCAGCCGTGTACCGGACATATGATGCTGGGCTCACAGTTTTACCGCCAAAAAACGGCATTCAGCGGGTGAAGAGGTCAGTTAAAGTAACCTTTATCTCCACAAAAAAGAGTACGTCATGTTTCATTCACAAGTTTGTTGGATTGGTCGACTTTCCTAAAAGGTTTTGGGTGTGTCCCGCTCAGTTGTTTGCTTTCTGTGTTGTTTTGCACTCATGTTTTCATTCCGAGAAAGAGAATGCCTGCGACATAGGTTGCAGCACTCTCTAGAGGGGGTTGTGTTAGGACCAGTTTCTCCATGTTTTTGGAGTGTTAAAAGCGCTGGCGTGCTGAAATATACAACACGCAATGTCAACGGCATTGTGGAACACCTCTGTAACCTTGTGCCAAGGTGACAGGTTCAGGAAAGACCAATCAAAGTGAGCTAGTGTGTACATGGGCAGGGCGTGCGGAGATAAACGTTACGTGTACCGAAGCGGTCAGCTTCACACCTATAGCTTTTACTTTCCCGGATTCCCTGTGTTGGTTTTAGGGCCGTATGGGGAGGGGACCCCCCAACAAGAATGTCATACAAGGCGACTAATTAGGGATGTTTCCTTTGATGCACCTATACTCTTCTACTTTTTTACCGTTCACCAGCTGTAAAACTCGGGCAGAAAGTTTTCGTTGTTCATCCACTTCCGGACTGTACGTCTTTTTCCAGAACTTGAATTTTGGCTGCACACTTTTTTTACATATTCGGCTTATTTGGATGCAGGTTCCTCACCTCTCTGGCAGATGCATCCAATGTCCAAGGAAACATCCCTGATTAGCTGCCTTGTCAGTGGGACAGTAAGTCTCCCCCCCCCCCCCATGTGGATATGATTAAACAAAACACAAAAAACAGCTTTACAAAAGCAACTCTGTATTCTCACAAGAATCAGTCTCACTGTGTCTTCATCAGCTGCACTGCCCAATGTGACAAATAATGACACTGTATGATGATGACAATGATGTCTTCATCAAAGATGTATTCATAAAAGACAAAAATGGGTCAGTTTTGTTCGACCCATGAGACAACGCAATGACACTACACAGCAGTCACCATAAACTATGGCTCACACATAATTCACATTCTCCAGCCTAACAAATCTTTCCAAAGCTAGGACTTGTTTGGTGAGTACACAAAATGCAAACCTTTATTGCCTAGTTGTAAACAAATGGGACAGCACTCTAAACAATCAGTGTACACCATTTCCTCCCCGTGTGGGTTCAAGAGTCCCAATGTGGGGACAACAAGGACAATCCCATACCCGCACCCCTTCCCGAAAAAAAAAGCAGGCTGTAAAAGTTGACTAGCTAGGGGTTTCCTTTACGGTCAGAGTGCATATACGCCTGAGAGGCAAGGAACCAACACTCTGCAAGCAAAAACATCCAGATCTGTTAAACAGATGTGCATGAAAAACATAAGTCCCGGAGCAAGGTTAAAGTCTAGAGGTGAAGGGACAACCAGATATTTCTGCCAGAGTTGACAGCCAGTGAATGTGAAGAAGCCCACCACCAGTTATTGTGCTTCCAGCAGGAGGCCTTAAATTTAGCTCGTTAATATATATATATATATATATATATTCTTCTTTCTTAACTCTTTGAGTCCCAAGGAACGCATCATACGTTCATAGGCTACTACCTAGAAGCCCAATGAACGCATAATGCGCCGATTTTATTACTTTCTTTTTTACTACCCCCTGGGCCTGTGATGCTAAACCCCCTGGGACTCAAAGAGTTAAGTCCATGCCATGTGGCGTTGGTAGTCATGTCTATCCACAACTTTCTGTCTCTTGTACTTTCAATCAACTCTGACACAGATGATCTTCCATAATCCACGCTGTGTGGCGTTAGTAGTCATGTCTATCCACAACCTTCTGTCTCGTGTACTCTCAATCAACCCTGACACAGACGGTCCTCCATGCCGTGTGGCGATGGTAGTCATGTCTATCCACAACCTTCTGTCTCGTGTACTTTCAATCAACTCTGACAGACAATCTTCCATGCTATGATGTAAAACTGTCCAGCATCTGTTCTCTCGCTCTCCCTCTGCCTCGCCTCCCCTCCAACTTTCCTACCGTCATCATGTACTCCAGTTTTCTCCTTCTCAACACATGACTACAGAATGTAGATTTTGTCTCTTTTTGATGTGGGCAATCAGTTCTCTTCGTGAGTCAGCTTTTTTTCAAGACGTCCTCAGTACTCTTTTTATCTGTCCAAGGTATTCTCATGATTCGTCTATAAAACCACATCTCGCAGCTTCTAAATGAGTTTTCACTAATTTACCAAAGATATATATACATGTACTGTATAATGCAGCCCACTACTATGCAACTAAGTTTATTTAGAGGCCAAAACAGAGCCCTCATTAAGTCTTTTGGGCCCCTGGGCAAACCAGTGTGCCTAAGCCCCTATGAAAACCACTGACACGAATGAAATGGCTGATAATATTAAATGTATTCCCAGATTAGTTTGGGGTCCCTATGCTGGTGCCTAGCCGCCCACACATTGAGATTGTCCTGGGCCCAAATGCTGAAACTGGAGATTGTCACGTGCCACAGGCCCGAGCCACAGTATAGAAAAGGTTTATGGTTTCTACAACAAATCAAACATCATGGCATAAGGAGAGCAAACCTATAAATGCTCCGCTCTACTTCTAACTCAAGCCTGAGTCTGAAAAATCTCAGCTCAGTGCATGAACTCTGTAGCACAAGCGAGGATCTTGAAATATTTTGGTAGATTTTTACGGGACAGGACAGTCTAATATTTCAGGGGGTGGTAGATAGGCTGCATGCAGTCGTGTGACCTATGCTGCACTCTCTAATGGGACGTAGGTAGGTTGGGGTTAGGGCCAGTTTTAGATGCTTTGGGGTCGTTAAAAGCATCAGAAAGCCGGGGAAACCCCGTCTTACCACCCTCTAAAATGTTGGACTGTCCTGTGACGTCATCTAAAGGATATTAATAAAGAACCCAAAATCCCCGTGTGGGTTCCGGGGCCCCATTGTGGGGAAAACAAGAATAGACTCACTGCCTCCCCAAAAGCATGTCGTAAGAGTCGACTAATTGGGGAGCTTCCTTTGAAGTCGGAGTGCATCTGCCGGAGAGGCAAGGAACCGACAGTCTGTATTCAAGAGAATGAGATCTGTAAAACTGATGCACACGCAACACTCAGGTTCTGGAGCAGGACTGCAGTTCAGTAGTGGACGAGCAACCAGAACCTTCCGCCAGAGTGTACAGCTGGTGAACGCGAAGAAGAAGAAGAAGAACCCAAAATTTGTGTGAAAATGTAACATAATCGCTCTGGCGGTGAAAATGAGAATGTAACCAAATGACTTTGGGGTGAAAATGAGAAAGGCCAATGAATATTGGGACTGTTTCCCAAAGTCCTGCAAAGGACAGGCGAGTGGTTTTCACTTGTATCTACTTGCAAACACATGACTAGTTAGTGTTTTTCAGACAGGTTACGAGAAGGAACAGACCCAAGAACATGTGACAACTGGCATGACAGATGGGAAAATAGCAAGGAGGAAGCAAACAGTAAACAAAAACCTTTTTGGCTTGGCCATATGGATGTGGTGGAAAGGGGAAAAGGGGGGGGGGGGGGGGGGGGGGGTTGTGTGTGTGTGAGAGACAAGAGCACTGAACTGATCTGTAATTCTGGCGACAGTGTGCAATGGCGAAACATGACAGCCTAGGTCAGGGCTATTCAAGTGGCGGCCCGTAGGCCACATCCGGCCCGCGGAGGCCAGCAAGAGGCCTGTGGATCACTGCCAGCTGTACTGTATTAATAACCTTCCTATGCCGGGGCTCGGGCGATCCCCATTTTCACACATCTGGCCCCTGAGTAAACTTAACTGATAGCCCTGGTCTAGGTTACTGGCATGGCACAAGAGATGATGATGAAACACACTGCCAGGCCAATTGATTCAAAACCAGCAAACCATGTCAGGATGTACTTAAATATCTGTTGTCTTTATACACGGCTACTGTTGATGACATTGCATGCCTGAATGTCCGTGGCTATCTTCGTCACCGTCGTCTTCATGGTATGCTTCCTGCCTACCTCCGGTGGTGCCCCCAAATCCTCGGCTTGAATCAAACGCTGTTAGATTCACCTCCTCCACATGTTCCCGGTGGGGATTTCCTCCCGAGGACGAGGAGGCAGTACTGCCTCCAGCAGCTGGGAATCGTACAATATAAAAACAATAAGAAAAATAATCAACAATATAAACAATATGAACCATAATCAACAATATTAAAAAATATGAACAATAATTGACCAATCATCGTTACTTTGGATAGTCACAGTATTCGTAACATGCGTCTCATAAACTACATCTCTAAGGCCTCTTAAAAAGTAAAAAAAAAAAAAAAAAAAAAGGTCAGTTTTTTACCGCCATTAGGCATATAGGGCTAGACCTATATTTTTATAGACCAAATGGCACAAGATGGGCAATGTGGTAAGAATCACGCTGGCTATCTCTAACTTCTCAGGACTGCACCTGGTACCCACTCAAGGCTAGGTCAACCTGGGAGTCAAGGTCATTTTTCCGCCAGAAAGCAAACCCACATGCGAGTGTCTAGTCGCTCTGCCACTGTGACTCCCTTGGCCTCTTCAGTTTTTCTTAATTTGTTTATTTACATTCCGAAATTCATTGCCATATAACAGCAGCACTGGTTCAACATAACATTTCAGTACACTTTCAGTCTGAGAGCGGTATTCTTCTTTCTCATTCACTCAAATATGTAAATGCATTATGCCCATCCGCAACACAACACGATATTTAGGTCTTTCGGCCGACACATCCGACCTCTGCTGGCATCTGTCGCCTGGGTTACCCTTACCAGGAAATTGGTTTTCAAAAACCACATCTCCGGTGTGTGTAAATGTTTTCACCCCCAAAAAATGTAATTAATTCAACCTATGACAATGACAGAAATTGGTCACCTGAGAGATGAGCAACACTGACTTACCTGTAACTGCTCCAGCCCGGAAAAATTGTTTTCCGGAAACAAGATTTTAAAGTTGATGATCAAATTTACCCTTTTCAAAGGGGTTTCTGTGGTGGGGCATACCCTCGCCGAGAACTACCTTCATCTTTCCTGAGGATAACAACATCAAAGATGTTTTCTGGGATATTTCAGTTCTTCTTCTTCGCCTTCTTTATCTTCTTTCTCTTCTGTCTTTCATCTTCCACAATAATTACTTTAGCCACACTGTGATAAGTGAAAAGCTGGAACGTGTGATATTGGAAAACTGTTGAATGTTATCTACAATAGTCTTCTTCTTCTTCTTCTTCTTTGTGTTCACCAGCTGAAAACTCCAGCAGAAAGTCACTGCTGTTTGTCCATCTCCTAAACTTTAGTCTCGGCCCAAAACCTCAGTGTTGCGTGCAAATCCATTTTACTGATCTGACTAATTTGTATGCAGACTGTTGGTTCCCTGCTTCTCAGGAAGACACCCAACACTTCGAAGGTTAAATCCCCAATTAGTTGACACTTGCAACATGTTTGTTCGGCAGCAGTGGGTCTATTCTTGTTTTTCCCCACTATGGGGCCTGGAACTCACACAGGGATTTACTAGTGGACCTAATGACCGACATGATATTATTAAACATTTTATATATACACACACACACACACACACATATATATATATATATATATGTGTGTGTGTGTGTGTATATAAAATGTTTATAAAATAACGTCTCCCTTTTTATATATATATATATATATATATATATATATATATATATATATATATATAAAGGGAGCCCCTCAATCCCCAACCCAATATATATTCTGACGAAAATGGGGGAGACTGGCTCAGACCCCCCCCCCCCCCCCCACCCCCCCCCCCCCCCCCCATTTTGTAAGGAACTAAGAGTTTAACAATGTATAGAAATTATCGTTTAAAGTATATGTTTGCATGTTTCATATTATTTCAACTATACTATTATATGTTTTGCTATTCAACACAATATTATTACTAACAGGCTGAATGGTAAATATAATAATATATTTCAAATAAAGTGAAACATGGTACCTCTGCCTAATGACCTTCTGAAATCTCTTTTCAAATCTCTGCCAAAGATACATGGTGCAATAGACAGCAGAACATCACACTAGTTTAATGAATCAAGTAACGAAAACTACTGAAGAGAATTAGGAAAATTAAAGATGTAAAATTAGTCCTGAAACTGGCGACAAACAGTGGTTTTACTGAAGGTATAGTCACAAACAGCGCCATATATATCTTAAGAACACTAGCAGACAGATAAAATTAAAGAAACATACGTATTTGAGCATTGTTGAAAGTAAAGTTTCTACTTACACAAGCCATAGGTATATAGTGTATCTATATTGTTTTTCTTCATACACCAATCTTTTCCATATATCAATCTTCTTTTTTTTTCCTGAATTCACCAGTTGTAAACTCCAGTGGAAATTCATGACTGTTCACCCAGTTCTCGACTTTAGTTTATCCATAACTTGAGTTTTGCATGCACATCCATTTTACAGATCTAACTTACTGATATGCAGACGGCTGGTTCCTTCCCTCTCTGGCAGATGCAATCCAACTTTGAAAGACAAAAACATTACAAAAATGGAAAAACAGAAACCACCTGGAGTAATGATTTCCCCGGGCGTGTTCTGTATTACCAGGTCCCGGCCGTCCAGGTGTTTGACAGTGAAACTGTAACCCACACAGCGCCTCCACCAGGGATATATCACGCTCCATGACAAGGTCGTTCCCCTTTCTGGTGAAGACGTCATGCTCCTCCTGCTGTAGAACTATGATAACGTCCCCTGGCTCCACTCCGGGCTGTTTGAAAAAAAATAGAAAGTTTACAGTTTATTTAAAAGGATCCATTTCACAGCCACAGAACAGCTAGCCAAGACCATACCACAAAGAATAAACTCCAAAACTTCAGGGACAATCCGTGTCTCTGTAAAGATAGCGCTTGTGAATAGCAGGCTATTCTGTAAAACAAACCCAGGGGTTTCCCAGCATCGGTTTCCCTCCGTGTGGGTTCCCGGGCCCCTTTGTGGGGGAAAGAAGCCTCCCCAACAAGCATGTCCTAAGAGTCGACTAACAGACAGTTTCCTTCAAAGTCAAGAGTGCATGTGCCTGACAGGTAAGGAACCAACAGTCTGCATACAAATAAGTCCGATCTGTAAAACAGATTTGCACACAACACGCGGATTCTAGAACAAGCCTACAGTCCAGAGGTGGGTGAACAACCAGAACTTTTCACCAGAGTTTACAGCTGGTAAACGTGAAGAAGAGGAAGAGAGCTAAAGCTTGACCGCCTAACCACGGAGACAAGTAATCTGTAATCATCATCTTTTGTGTTAATCCAAAGATGTGAATGTGTTTGTGCCTATTTAATATGTCTGGGATATCAGCCTTTTTCAGCCAACACATCTGATTTCTGCACGCACTGGTTGCCTGGGTTAGCCTTCTTGGTTAGTTTCATGGGACACTGTAGCTTCATTGCTGGGCAGTCAACTCTATTTCCTTGTTCACAGGTGGTGCTCCCTAAATTAAACAGATCTGTTAAATGGATGTGCACGCACAACTAACGTTCTTGATCAAGACCAAAATCCAGGAGTGGACAACAGTGAAGAACTTTCTATCCAATAACTTATTCAGACTACTGTCTTGACATCGACCTGGCTGCCATGAAATACAAAGATAAGAGATATTGTGTATTTGTGTAGTATTGTCTAATCGTATGTGCTGAAGAAGGCTTCACAGCTGCTTGTTCACGTTTTGTTTGTGTTTGCGAAGCTCACTGACATACTTTTTGTTCAGTTTTATATCTTTTCCTGATATCCAAGAACTGAAAACATTTGCTTCAGATGTTCAAAACTGGAAGAAAAGAGACACTGGCCTAAACAAGACTGAAATGAAGGAGTTTCACAAGAAGAGGAGAACTGGCCATTCACAACGGAAGAAATTTCACATTCACTGGCTACACTCCAAGAAAACCTGAAGACAGTATACTAGAAGTCCTATCAGTGGAATCCACACGGTAAATGATAAGGGAAAACCTAAATCCACACAGGGAAGAGAAGCTGAGACGAGAGTGATACTATGGGAAAGACACACAGGGAGCTGCAGGAGATGGGACAAGATAAGAAAAGCTGGTATGAGTTGTCTGCAAACATGTTTTGTTACTGATAAAGGAAAGTGAAGAAGAGGAGGAGGAGAAAATGAAAAGGAGATGGGAGAGGAAGGAGAAGACAAAGAAACAAGAATATGCCTGTATCATTCGACTCAGGGCCTATGTTTCATTAGGGATAAATGGCGGAACAATAAGTGGAGGAAGAGAGGAGGCAGAAAGAAGAAGAAGAAGGAGAAGGAGGAGGAGCAGCAGCAGGAAAAAAAAAGAAGAGAAGGAGGAAGAGAAAAAGAAGAAGAGGAGGAAGAAGCAGCAACAGAAGAAGAAGAAGAAAAAAAAAGAAGAAGAAGAAGAAGAAGAAGAAGAAGAAGAAGAAGAAGAAGAAGAAGAAGAAGAAGAAGAAGAAGAAGAAGAAGAAGAAGAAGAGACGACGACGACGACGACGACGACGAAGAAGAAGAAGAAGAAGAGAAGAAGAAGAAGAAGAAGAAGAAGAAGAAGAAGACAGAAGAAGAAGAAGAAGAAGAAGAAGAAGAAGAAGAAGAAGAGAAGAAGAAGAAGAAGAAGAAGAAGAAGAAGAAGAAGAATAAGAAGAAGAAGAAGAAGAAGAAATAAGAATAAGGAATAAGAAGAAGAAGAAGAAGAAGAAGAAGAAGAAGAAGAAGAAGAAGAAGACAAGAAGAAGAAGAAAGAGAAGAAGAAGAAGAAGAAGAAGCTAAAGAAGAAGAAGAAGAAGAAGAAGCAGACGAAGAAGAAGAGAAAGAGAAGAAGAAGAAGAAGAAGAAGAAGAAGAATAAGTACGAAGAAGAAGAAAGAAGAAGAATACGAAGCATACAGAAGCCTAGAAAAGAAGAAGAAGAAGAAGAAGAAGAAGAAGAAAGAAGAAGAAAAGACTCAGAAGAATAAGAAGAAGAAGGCGAAGAACGAAGAAAGAAGAAGAAGAAGAAGAAGAGAGAAGAAGAAGAGAAGAAGAAGAAGAAGAAGAAGTAAGAAGAAGAAGAAGAAGAAGAAGAAAAGAAGAAGAAGAAGAAGAAGAAGAAGAAGAAGAAGAAGAAGAGAAGAAGAAGAAGTGAAGAAGAAGACAAGAAGAAGAAATAAGAAGAAGAAGAAGAAGAAGAAGATGAAGAAGAAGAAGAAGAAGAAGAAGAAGAAGAAGAAGAAGAAGAAGAAGAAGAAGAAGAAGCAGAAGAAGAAGCAGATAAAGAAGAAACAGAAGCAGGGGATGTCCCAATACCTGCTGGTCTCCTTCTCCCCGGAAGGGTATCCGCTGTCCACTTCTCATGCCTTTATCCAAGTGAACATCAAGTATCTTTGTTTCCTTGCACACTTTCCTGCCTCGGCATTCACTACAACTGTCCTTCTCCCTGATAACCTCCCCTGTAAAATACAATGCAGATAAGACATGTACATGGAGCAAAACTACAGATAAAACAGTATATATACACAGGCGTCAAAAAAAAAAAGGTTCATTTTTAATATCCTACCTCAGATGATGTCATAGGACAGTCCAACATTTTAGAGGGTGGTAAGAATGGGTTTCCCGGCTTTCTGATGCTTTTAACGAGACCAAAACATCTAGAACTGGGCCTAACCCTAAGCAACCCACTATAGAGTGCAGCCTAGGTCCCATGGCCTACCTACCACCATCTGAAATATTAGACTGTCCCCTGATCTGTGGATTTCCCCTGTTTGGGGTCGGATATTAATAAAAAAAAACGTATAAATAATAATGGCCCACCAGTGAAATACGTTACCATTTTTACAGAGGCTACTTGTTTTAAAACATCATCATTATGTGACATATTCTGCTATATTCTAAAAAAATAAATTATGGGAGCTAACTCTATAAAATACCTCAAAACTCTACGACATGGCCATCGGCTGGTAAGAGGCGCCATAACCTCTCCCCCTGCTGCCTTGCAGGGTAAGTCTCTTTAGACAAAGGCTATTGGAGTCAAACCATAAACAAACAGGCGGAAGGTAAGGGGAAACCACCGCTGTATTATCCCTAGTAAATCATGCCTAAAAACATAACGAATTCAGATAACAACGTGAATGGGGAAGGAGGGATAGAGGAAGACAAGGAGAGAAGATTCTTGACAGTTTTGTTTCATGGCATGGAGCTGTGTCGGCACACAAACTGATACATGCTGCAGGAGATAGCAGATTGTGGAGAGGCATGATCGCCCACGCCAGTCAGCAAGGCACCTGATGATGATGATGATGTGTCGTATGATGGTTATGAAAACTATCTGGAGGCTAATGGGAATCACTCTGAGCACCTGTAGTCACTTCATACATCATATGTAACTTATGTGCAGCTCTTTGTATTTGAATAAATTTAGTATCAAAATGTTTATACAGGTTGTTAAACTCATAGCAATGCTGTAATATATTCAAAGACCATTAATAACGTACATGTAGATTCATTTCACTGCTGGGCGGCTGCTGGGATGAAATTTTGTTGGCTACTTCTGTATTAAACATTGATCGGCACTCTTAGAAAGATGTAGAAAGATAGAAGGACACATTATACAACATGAAAATCGAAAGCTACAGTTACCATGTTAGGAATCGAACCTGTCACTTCTAAATGATGACCGCGCCTCCCTGCAGGAACAAGTGTACTAAGACACATGACCATCTAGTTAAAAGGTTAGTTGCATGTCCTTCACAGGACATTGCAATTCCCACCCTGGCATGTGTGTGTGGCTGTTGTGGTTTTCTAGGCAAGTTAAAGTTCTTCTTCTTCTCTGTTCAGCAGCTGTAAGCTCCGATAGAAAGTCCTGGTTGTTTGTCCATTTGGACTTTGGCATAGTTTTGGGGCCTAAGTTTTGCGTGAACATGCATTTTATTGGCTTATTTTTGTGCTCTTTTCCGCTCAATCAGATGCCTCCGACTTCGAAAGAAGCTGCTAATTAGTCGACTCCTACCACATGCTTGTTGCATAGGCCGTTGGGTCTATTCTTGTTTTCCCCATAATTGGACCCCGGAACACGTTTTCCCCATAATGGGACCCGGGAACCCAAAGAGAGAGGATAGAGTTCATCTCAAACTACTGAAATAGCAAAATAAGTTACAGAAATTCATATTAACTATTCATAAGTTGAAGTCTAAACCTGACATTAAACAGCAACATTTGCTAGGCAAATAAACTGTGCAGTCTCATGCTTGTGTCTACATTATTTTAATTTACAAGACCACGATATTTAAAATTTGGTTTAAAAGGTCACCTTCACCATGACAGTCTGAACATGTAGTGTGCAGCTGCTGTACCATCCCCGGTCCTAACTGCCGCATCTGTATCTGAATACCACGACCGTTACATTTTCTGCATGGCTGAGTGGCACCATGTTTTCCTCCAAGGCTGCAAAAATCGTAAGTTAAAAAAAAAGTCTTCAATCTCATGGACTGATTCTATAACACAGTCAGGGTTTGATAAATTTATCATAAGTCAGTATTGTTTATTACAAGACTTAAGGCTGAAACAGCAAATAAATGGATGATTGCTGACTCTCTATTTCTGAAACCGCAGTCTAAAGGTTCCGTTGCCCAGCTATTGAGATAAGAGCTTGGTGTGACACTGTGAGCTGTGAAATACATGTGGCATTTTTTTTTTGTGCCCACATTGCTGACTGCACTAAAATGACGGGTGGTTGATTGAGCTCAGAATGGCATGTACTTTTGCATGTGCAATTGGATTCATGACTGACCGTCTGCGCCAAAAATATGCTGCAATTCTGGCGTAGCTGTCTTATGCATTTTTAATCTGCATGTGCAAGCTTCAAGATTTTGCTGAAAAATCCTGTTCTGTGCTCGCTGATCACTAATAACATGTGAACACTGTGACCAGAAAGCTTTAACCAGCACATTACATGAATAGACAATGTTACAATTACAAAATTTTAAAAATGACAAAATCCCCTTATCTGAAGTATCTCATAGAGAAACTCACATCCTGGTTTGGCCAGTTGAAGCTCTAGCATACATGCGAGCACAGGAAATAAATACTAGCCAGAAAAGGAAAAAAAAAACTGTGGCCGGTAATAGCCGTAAATCAAAAATTTTAGATAAAGCTTTGTTGGACGTTAAGTCCTTTGGGTGAGGTGGAGCCCAGTAGATAGATTTGTTTCATGTCTTGTAGTTAGATCAGGGACAAACAAACAAACCTACAAAGAATGTCTGTTGAAACCGGATGTAATGAGCCACAGGTTTGATGAAAATGATTTAAGAATCAACATCACAGCACACTGGGCATTCCCACAGATGCTCCGTCTTCCACAGCAAAGGTGTAGATGCTGTTCCCGTAGCACACTGATCAAACACATTGTTCTCTCCCTTTCGTACATCCGTCCTTCTTGGATCCACACCTAATACATCGTTCGGACATTCTTATACATGTTATTTTATCTAACCTTGTGCTCAATGTCGGCATTCGTTCATTAATGGTCTTCAGAATACCTGCCTTGTCCAGTAGTAGCTATCGTTTTCTGAAACAGTGCAAAGGTAATCATTCCATAACAAAAGAGCAACTACTCACCCATGACATTTCCTGCATACAATGGTTTTACTGAGCTGAAGCTTGCAGGTTTTGCCAATGTACAGATCTTCTAATGAAACCCTGATGCCAGCAAGAGAAGACAACAATGGATTACATCAAGTCACAGCTAATCATATTTATAAAACAGTTCACTCTAGTTAGTTAGTTGTCAGTGGTGCTTTATTAATAGCCTACCCCAAACAGAGGAAACCCACAGGTCACGGGACAATCTAATATTTCAGGGGGTGGTAGATAGGCTGCATGCAGTCGTGGGACCTAGGCTGCATTCAGTCGTGGGATCTAGGCTGCACTCTCTCGTGAGACGTAAGTGGGTTGGGGTTAGGGCCAGTTCTTGATGTTTTGGGGTCTTTAAAAGCATCAGAAAGCGGGGAAACCTAGTCTTACCACCCTCTAAAATGTTGGACTGTCCTGTGACGTCATCTGGGGTAGGATATTAATAAAGAACCAAGTCAGTTAGTTAGACGACAGATTATCCTCACTGCACACTGAACAATTCAGTCCATAAGTGCTCAGATCCCCTCCTCAGTAAATCCCACAGCGTGTAGTGGCTGACGACACCAGTCCTGTGTTGGTTTCTTATTCTACTTTGGCTTCCTTCATAGTCCTCTTGTCTGGCCACACCACTTTGAACATGTTGTTCTTGCAGTCTGATCTAATGATGTTAATGGCAAAGTCGAGAAGATGGACTTCAATGCACTGTGTTTGATCCTACATGGCTTGCTTCTCAGGTACTCTGTAGTTCCAGTGACAATCCCTAGGAATCTCCTCATCTCTCTGTGACATGAAGCTGCGATCTTCTAAGTTGACTTGAGTTGAGTCAAGAATTTACATCACAGCACTCGGGGCATTCCCATGTGTGCTCTGTCCCCATCTTCCGCAGTCAGTGCAGAGTTCCAGTACTGATGGTACCGATCTTCTGAGCGAATGGTAAACCACCTAGCTACAGAGAAGTACCTGTGCAGTGTTTAGGATGCAAAGATATGATTATATTTACTTAAAATAGCATTTGGGTGGGAAAGGGCGGAGGGGACTCCCCCTACCCCCCCCCCCTTTTTTTGTTGTTGAAATTTTGTTTTTTTTTCAGTCATTGTTACATCATAATACTTATTTAGTCTTTAGTAAATGAGGTCATGGTATGAGTTTCCATAAAAATTATCAATGCTCATCATCAGGTGCCTTGCCAACTGGTTAAAGGCACACTAACAACAAATAAATGCAGAAGCGAGCTAGAGAATAAAGTTAAAAATATAGGGAGGACATAGGGTGAGCTGCATGCAACTACAAAGGACAGGACGACTTGGCATAAGTTGGTTGGTAGTCTATGCTCCACTGAGGACTAAAGGGAAGAAACTTAAGAAGGGTCAACCCCAAAGGCATACTGCTAACCTTTGTTAGTGATTCTTCCTTTTCCATGTTTGCAAGTTGTGTTCTGGTTTACAGCAAAGCTATGACTAGCTTTCAACATAGTACATCTGGTTTTAGCAAACTCCCAATTAGTCGTCTTTTATAACATGCCTGTTAGGAGGCCGTGGGTAATTTCAACCCCTCCCCCCTCCCCCACGCCCTTATTTGTCAGATTTAAAAAAAAAATCAAGGCACAGGAATCCACAAAGGGATGTTGCAGAGTGTACCGGGAACACTGCCCTGTCAAACAAGAAATACCAGCCACTGAGAGACTGTAGCTTCAATGTTGAACACACATTTTCACAAATTCAAACTGCCGGCAAACCTGAGTGGATGAAGTGTATCCTCGCCTCTTCTCCGTCTCATGCCTCCCATTGGCTCCATGCCAAAACCCCGGAAGCCACCACCAAAGAATCCTCCAAGCCCCCCAAAGATGTCATCAAACATGCTGCCGCCAAAGCCCCCGAACCCACCACCTGCAAAATACCAAAAGGAATGAGTCCTTGCTGACAGTATTTACTACTGAGGAGACATGAATAAGCAAAGTAGTTACTCAAACCAAATTTTCCCCCGTTGTAAATGTGAATAAAGCAGGCACAAACAACAGACTGCACAATTGATTGCCTGGCAACCTTTGCACGTCAGCCAATGGCAGAACGCTAAGATTTCTTGAAGCCGCCTCGATTTGTTACCTGCACTCTGAACTCTGTAAACCAAACAGACATGATTCTGATACTGCAGCTGCCTGGGTAAAACAGACAGTTGCATTTGAATGTTGTTGAATCTGCACTTCAGTTAAACAGAATTTACTTGCTTCATTTATGTAATTTTTACTGTAGTATGCACCTGACAAGATACAACCAAATATGCCAGGCAATAAATTGTGTAAGCAATTGTTTGTGTCTTCTTTGTTCAAAGTAGTTACTATTAGTTATTAGTGAGGACTAGCATCATAGCACTCCACGCAGATCCACAGGTGCTCTGATCTCCTCCTCAACAGCCCCATAAGATCACTGATCAGGCCCGTTCTGTGTTGATTAACCAGACACCCTTCTGCCCTTGGTGATATGTTATTCATGTCTGGCAGCTCCAGGCTGCACCCCAACGTCTACCAATCTGGACAAGGAGACTGAGTCCTGCTTGTTGTCGTGATATTCTTTACGATATGCCGCATGCTTGGCATTAATAACGTCAATCCTGTCCAGTGCCAGGCCTGCGTGGTAACCGGCTTATCTGCTAGATTATCTACATGTTCATTGTCTTGAACATAAATATCGAAGATAAAGATCACGCAAGTTATTTGTGAAGCAAAGTAGGAAAAGTACACGAAAATGTGCCGCAAGACATTTGCCTCGCATTCTGAAGGTCGTGGGCTTGTCTCACGGCTGCCTTGTCTGGTTCACGAGTACAGTTTTTACAGATATCCTTAGGGATTGCTACCAGAGCTACAGAGTTTGTGCTTGGTGTGGCGCTCTTGGCATGTGACCGAACCATATGGGATCAAACCTGGTGAAATGAAGGTGATTTTCTGGATTTTCTCATTTACTGTAATTAGGAAAGAAAAATCTAAGTCTGAAGAGTGGAGAAATAAAAGAAAAGGTGATGATAGCTTCTAGCGGATCTACACTGTGCTGATACTGCTTGTTGGATGTAAAGTTGGTAGGTCAGTGAGCCAACTGTTTAGTTAGTTGTTGTTCTTCTTTGTTCACCAGCTGTAGGCTCCGCCATAAAGACCTGGTTATTTTGTGGGCACATCCGTTTTACTGGCTTATTTGTGGGCAATTAGTTGTTATTTCCTGCTCCGGTAGACGCACTCTGACTTCAAAGGAAGCCCCCCACCCATTTAGTCGACTCCTACGACATGCTTGTTAGGGAGGCAGTGGATCCATTCTTGTTTATCCCACAATGGGGTCCTGGAACCCACACAGGGAGTTTAGTTAGCGAAGCTGAGTTAAGAAAAGATATTACAGCACTCATGTCATTCCCACAACTGCTCCAGCCCTATCTTGATTAGCCAGTGCAAAGTTCGATTTCGGCACCAGTGGGTGACATGGTTACCACCACACAGGCCACCTTTGCTCTCCAGGACTTTACCTGATACCGATATTATGCTGGGCCAACCTCAGCCAAGGTCACGTTTGAAACTCAATGCGGATTCAATTCCAAAATCGACAGGAAGCAGACAAGCATTCAATATGATAGCCAATTATACTTTACAAGTGAACACTTAACATAACACTTTAGTGCATTTCAGCTAATCCTGAACTTGCCCTTTGCAAGTAAAACAGGCCATCTATCTATCAACAACAACTCAGTTCAACCAAACATCTAAATTAGTGGTTCTCAACCTGTGGGTCGCAACCCCTTCATGCCTACGGCCATAAAAAAACACATATTTGCTGAAGTTATGATATACCAACGAAAATAATTTTATGGTTGGGGGTCGTGGCATTAGGAAGGTTGAGAACCACTGATCTAAATGGACACATCTAACAAACTTACCTGGGCCACCTCCGGATTCTCTAACTGCTTCCAGTCCATACCTATCATAGAGCTGACGCTTTTCTGGGTTGGACAGCACCTCATAAGCAAAGCTGATTTCTTTAAACTGTGAATGGCATGAATATGAGTTCACATTAGAAGGGAAATGTATCATTACAGCCCTCCGCATTATAAGAGCCAAAACAGCACAGTAAACTGACCCTGGCTTTCCCTCCCCCCCTCCAGTGTGGGTTCAAGGGCCCCATTTTGGGGCCTGTATGCCATCTTGGTGCCCATAGCGACGCCGCTGATCTGGTTGAAGTAGTGGCCATTAAAAGAGTTTAGAGTCAGCACTAGCTCAGCCAGACGTATCAAAGGGTCAGTGGCTATAGCAGGACTGACTCTACGATCTAGAAAGAACCACAAAGCCTGGAGGCCATCTGAGTGTGGAACAGAGGGGCAAGCATGAAGTCCATTGCATCTGACCATCACAGGTGGAGGCAGCTGCTCAGATAGTCAATAGCAACTGATGACACCCAGTGTAACGGGACAATGATGATAATGAAGTTGGATGTGCTGGTAGAAAGGCACACATGTCACAGTTCAGCTGAAAACAAGAAAATATTGAATGAAAAAAAGAATAGGAGAAATCAGATTGAATGTTGAATTAAGAATCAACATCACAGCACTCGAGACACTCCCATAAGTGCTCAGTCCCCATGTTCAAAGCAAACAAAGAGTTCCAATTCTGATTGTACCAGTAACCGTCTTTTGTATATCCGTCTCATCCTTTTTCTGAATGTTGTGCGACGGCCAGATAACCTGGTAACTCTTTGCAGCGCCATTCTCCTTAGACCGTCCGCATTCACAATATCTAACTTGTCATACATCAATTCACCACCAATTGGTGCAGAGCCAGTCTGTCTGCCTGCTCATTTCCCAACACACCGGCATGACCTGGAGAAAATATCCAAAGCATGTTAACTACCCAGGACCTCTGAAGTGATGCTTGCAACTCTGCATGAAGCATGCCTGTTTTCACCTTTCTCAACATGCTCTGTAAGTCAGTTGGGAGAACTTGAAGGAGCAGATGTGAGAGAGCTGCGGCGGTGTAATGGCTAGACACTCAGCCACAAGATTCCATGTTTAAATCAGCATCAAGAAAATTATTTGTCAAAACAGAATGTGGCTCCCAGGTTGACCCTGCCTTAAACAGATACCAGACAATATCCTGGGAAACCAAAGTGGTCAGCACGATACTGACCACATGGTGTCAAATGGTCTATGAAAAAAATATAGATCTAGAGACTCATGCACACTCCAATCCAGTCAGACTACAAGTTTCTACATAACCGTCCACTGCGCCAATATAGCTGTGCCATGTGAGTGAATGGGATTGCTGGGATCTGTACCTGGGGTTGGGGGATGGGGGGGCTCTCATACAAATAGTGGCAGAGTCACCAGGTGTTAATCACCCAGTATGCAATCTAGAGGGGTTTATCTTCACACACACACTCACTGCATGCCTGATTTGACACAGGAGTGAAAAGGGTCCTGTGTTTTTAAAAATCAATTATTGCAGAAGACATAGAAAGAAACGTGCAAGAAAAGTGTTTATTTGAAAAACTCAAATATGTACTCTTCAGATGTGCATTCATTCACAGATATTTAGCATTCATTGGATATTTTCTACAGGATATGCAGGTGCATTGAGATATGAACAGGTAGATTGACTGGCTGGCTGTGCACTACTGGGTGATAAACTGTTGCCTGACAAGCTAGATGTGGTCAAGGCCCTATGAAGCAAGTCAACAAGGTGGCAGCACAAACAAATCACTGTGTTCTGGAGAGTGAGGAGTAACCAGGAAATCTGGCTGGTACTCAACTGTCAGAGACAAATAATGAAAGATTATTGTTACTGGCACTATCAAGAAGAGAAACTAGATTATTATGGGCTGGAGAGAATGATGCACCTGGGTGTGACCAGAGGGTTCGGTCAGCACACTACGTTCAGAGGAAAGGTAAGATGGACATACAACCAGGCTACGACTGGCACCATTAGTATTGGAACTCTGCACTGGCTGTGGAGGATGGGGACGGAGCGCATATGGGAATGTCCCGAGTCCTGTGACGTCATTCTTGACTCAACTCAACTAGTACTATCAGCATTGGAACTCTGCTGGCTGCTGAAGATGGAGATGGGGCACTTACTCGAACATCCTGAGTGTTGTGATACCAGTTCTTAATTCAGTTCAAATAGAATACATATTTAAATTTACAGGAATCTCACCTTTTCACCTGTATGTGGGTTCTTATCTGGGTGAAACTCTTTTGCCAACTTTCTGTAAGCCTGATGAATAAACAAAAAGTACAATATAAGTAATACAAACAAAATGGGCATGTGATTAGCCTAACACTGCCTTGGTAAACAACAATCTAAGTGGTCTGTCTGTTTCAGTTAAAATGATTCAGTTTTTATGTTGCAATGGGTGGCACCTTTCCAGATAATAGTGTTACAGGAAAGCATCCATGGCGATGGTGAGTGTAACTAGCAAGACCGGCTAACATTAAGAAGTCGGCAAAACTTCAAACGGCGACCCTAAGAGATGCAATCTATTTTAAGTTAGTAATACTTTATACGCGCGGCGTCCGTGGCTAAGGCGTTGCGAGTCCGACTCGTAAGCCAGCATACCGCGATCGAAACCTACTGCAGGCTGCGTGGATTTGTCGTGGTATGGGACGTCGCAGGTCGACCCAGCCTAAAATGGGTACCAGGATGGGCTGTCCTGGGAAAGTAAAGACAGCCGGCGTAATGCTGACCACATTACCCACCGAGTGCTGATGGTCTGTAAAAATATGGGACGCTCTGCCCATATGCCCGATGCGCCGAAAGGCGTGAAAAGGGATCTTTACTTTACTTTAATACTTTATACTTTATATAAATGATGATGACAACAATGGTCCTGAAATCCTGTGCTGTAAGTGGGAAGGGCTACCTGGCAATACTTCAAGCGGCGACCCTAAGGGACGCCTTCCTTTTTTTTGGGTGTGTGTGGGGATGGGGGGTAGGGGGCGACCATAAGTTCACATAACAAAGTTCTGTAATATTAAATATTGCTTCAGGTTTGGGTTAGCCCAACTCTATTCAATGCTAACTACTACTATTCTTCTTTTTCTTCTTCTTCTTTTCCACCATTTACTTCAGCAAGGTGCTGGGGGGAGATGTAAGGATAAATATTTTCTACTATTCCATTTATTTATCTTCAAAACTGTAGTTATGTATAAATCTACTCGATAATAACTGTTACAAACGACCAGCCACGCGAGCCTCACAAAAATGGGAATGCCTGTTTCAGCTGCATGGCCTTACATCAGGAGCTGCTCGTTGTCTCTTCTAACAATGTATCTTTTCTTTAATAGTGAAGGAAAATAGTATGTCTACTAAAAACTAGTAATAAAAAATAATATAAATAATAATAAAATTGATGTAGTGTAATACTAATTTAAATTCCAATGTTAAATCAGTACTGGAATGGGGACCGTGTTAGCGCAGTCGATAGGAGACTCACTTTCAAATCCAGTATTAAAAAATAATTTAAATAATGATATGTTATATGGCTCTAAAACCTGGAGCAAAACTAAAAGAGCTGAAGCCTTATTACAGGTTTTCAAAAACAAGAGTCTTACAACGAATCTTTGGACCCATCAAAGATGCAAACAGCGGGGAATGGCGAGTGAGAAGCAACAACGAAATTCATAATCTGTTTAAATCACCCCTCATCACTGGCATTATGAGAGCTAATAGACTTAAATGGTTGGGGCATACTGAAAGAATGTCAGATGACAGAGAAGTAAAAACTGTATACACAAGGGAGATGAGGCAGACAAAGAAGAACATGGAGAAATAATATTCAGACAGACCTGCAAACACTTGGTGTCACCAACTGGAAAGAGAAGGCCAACCAGAGAGATGCTCCCCCCAGAGGCCATTACCTTGTAGTGGTGGGGGAGCTTGAGAGCCTCAATGATCTAATGAGCTATGCCGGCGGGAACGTATGTTCCTGGCAGGGTCAACCAAGCCGGACAGGTCATTGGTGAGGGGCCAGACTAAAGATGGCCTCCCGGTCCTCCAGGCTCAGGGGTTGGGCGCAGTGTTGACAGCTCTGCCCTGTAAAAAATCTACAACGTTACTGAAACTTCAAGAGGAAATAAGTGCTCTAAACGTCCGGTTGTCTTGGGACAGAGCCCCACATGGAAAACTGCACTGAAGATTGCACAGGGCAGAAAAGCATGGAAAGTCCTCTCTGAAGCCTCATGTGCCACTAGGCACAAAGAGAACTGATGATGATGAACCAGAGAGATGAAGGGAGGCGGGGGTGATATCTGCAGCAATGAACCTCAAGGGCTCAGAATGCTGAAGAAGAAGAAGAAGTATAAATAATAATAATAATGGGCTCTTTTTTGAATAACGGTCCCAAATGAACTACGCAGAAAGTGAACCCAAACAGAGCCTCATTATGTCCTACCCTACAAACATTTAAAACGTGTAACTCTGAAAAAATTAGGGACGAGAGCTGTAAGGAAAAGGGCAAAGCCTACTACTTACCGAAAAGTAAATCCTTTATATGTGAAAATTGTAGCACAGAAGTTGCAAATACTGCGCGAATATCTGTTCTGTCTCGCTGTCCTCCATTGTAACTCAGCACGGCTTGTCCGCGATTCTCGTTCCGGGCGAGACATGATGTAAATGCGCGGTTTAATGTACGCACATGTCGCCTCGTGACAAGGTCAAACCAGTAGCCGCCACGATGGCGCTCCACTATTCCGACCACCACTTGACCGTGGCGAATGCGAGCACGCTGGTACTTCCGACAGAAGAAGTAGCTCCTGTAAATTGTAGACTTTATTCTCCGGCGACTATAGTGCCACCTCCGAGAGTATCCCCAGCGCCGCTACGCGCGGCGCGGAAGGGGCTAAACTAGATGGCTGGGACTCACGGGCAAATGCATTCAAGGAAGCTGCAGGAGCTGCGGTAGCTGCTGCTCGCGAGTCCTAGCCATCTAGTTTAGCCCCTTCCGCGCCGCGCGTAGCGGCATGGGGGATACTCTCAGAGGTGGCACTATAGTAGGTGAAAAGCGGTCCGCAACTTACATATAACTCGGGCCCTGCCATAGGATAGCACTATCGAGAGTATTCTCGCGTGCCGGTAATTTTTTTTGTCCGTAGTTAATACTAGTTTTGCCGCCGTGTAATCACCGTAAAGATATCCGTTGTGTTTCGCAAAAAAAAATGTCGTGCGCAATATGCTATGCAGTGTAACTGTAATAGCAATACTAATTTTAATTTTAAATCAGTACTTGTGTGAGCAGCAGAAACATGGAGAACTAAAACAATTACCAACAAACTACCTTCGTCAATTGGTGCCTGCACAAAATAGAGGAAATTAAATTATATGATAGAATCACTAATTTAGAGCTTTGGGAGACCAAGAGGTGAATAACAGCTAGCGCTAGAGAGGAGACAAGAAAACCTGATCTGCACAGGAACCCAGTCCGAGACTCACCACACAGATATAGAAATAAAAGCACCACACTGACAGACCGCAAACATGCAGAAGGGAGTAAAGGGTGAAGTAAAATAGATGTGGAAGACATGGGGTGAGCTGCATAGCTGAGCAGAGCTAGCTAGCAGTCGTCAGTGTGAGTGTAAAAATACGTAATTTGGAAAAATATTATATTATAAACACAATAAGTAAAATATGTTGAAACATCAATCCCTAAAAGGTATCTGGTAGTCCAAAATATCAGCCGCCAATGAAGTACCTTCTTCAAGTCGTGAATTGTTGCATGTCTACTGACTCCGAGCAGCTCATACAAAGTGTTATCGGCCATCTTACTTCTGCTTCTACCAACAATGACGCATGCGCTTTGTTTTGACAGATCTATAGGTGACTTCCGCCTCTATATGCGTCAATCATCATCGTCGTCAACTTTTACTTAAGCGACGTGGGGAGGAACAGTTTGTGATTCACAGCTCCATGATCATCACACCTGCTTATTAGCGCTCAACGACTGTAAACTCCGGCAGAAAGTCCTGGTTGTTCGTCCAATTTCGGAATTTGATCTGTTCCAGAATTTGAGTTTTTGCGTGCACATCCGTTTTACAAATCTGGCTTATTTGCATGCAGACAGATTGATTCCTCGTAGATGCATTCCCGCTTCGAAGGAAACACCCATAATTAGTTGCCTCTTACGGCATGCATATTAGGGGCATTTAATCTGTTCTTCTTTCCCTCATAATAGGGCCACTGAATTCACACGGGGAAGGTGTAAGTATACTGTTTGTAATCTAGCTCTTTGCCTTTCAATAATTCTTAGGTTGTGATGTCTTAACAATCAGGTTTTAGGCCAAATAGCATCAGTTTTGAAATAACAGCATGTGAACATGAACACTAAATGTACAATGTTCAAAACAGTATTCTAACCAACGCTATGCTATCAATGTCAAACATGAACACTGTCTTTAAAGGACGGGGGGGGGGGGGGGGGGGTGTAGTCACGAAAGAAATAAAATGTTGACGTACTACGCTATGTGTAACTAGGAAAGATCGACCCAGAAACGATCATATCAGGAGGAGAGTAGGCACAGACCCAATAATGAACCTTTTAGGTAGACAGCAAATCAAACGGTTTGATCATGTAACAAGATTGACACCAGACAGAGCACCACGGAGAGCAGTGTTAAACAGCTACAACATTAGCAAATCCAGAGGTCGACCACGCAGAACATGGACCGCACTGAAAAGTACTTTAAATCCATACAGAAGGCCCGTTCTATAAATCTCTTCCTGTTCTGACGCCACGAGCCATTGCAGTAGTAGAGAAAATAAATAAGAGGAAGATGAAGAAAGAACAGCGGCGACGGCGTCTTCTGCGTAGCACACACAGAGGCTCGCATTGCATGCCACTTCAAAACCTGACGAGGAAAGGAAATACAGGCTCTAGAGAACAGAAGAATAACCGTGGCATTTGGGTTACGTGCGCTTGTTTTTCTTTTTGTAAATATTGTTTCCAATTCAAAATCTATTCTGTATCTGAGTTTAAGATTTAAACGTGTATCATAGGGGGTTCTCGTCACGGGCGAGCTCACAGCGGCTCACATACCTTTTTATTTCTTCTTTCTTTGTCCACGGCCACCGTGCTTTGTCGTAATGCTTTTGTAGCAAAGCGTTGCAGAGAGGAGTTGGTCTATATGTTGTTTCCTAATCACAGACATCAGAAGGATACAGACATCATTTTTCGGCCATGTTATGAGAAGAGGGAAAATGAAACATGTTGTGACCACTGAAAAGATATGTGGAAGGAGATATAGAGAAAGACAAAGAGAGATTCTTGACAGTCTTGTTGAGGGCGGTTTGTCAGCACACGAACATGCTGCAGGAGATCGCAAATTGTGGACATGCATGATCGCCGCCAGTCGGCAAGGCGATGATGATGTAGTTTGTGCTAATGTCGTGTTGTGTTTCTATAGTGTCTCTTTCACTCCCTCCACCCATTTGCTTGATCGACCTCTTGTTCTGTAGCCTACTGTTCTCGTGTAGTACGTCACTCCCTCCACAAATATGCTTGATCGGCCTCTTGTTCTGTAGCCTACTGTTCTCATGTAGTACGTCCCTCCCTCCACCCATATGCTTGATCGGCCTCTTGTTCTGTAGCCTACTGTTCTCATGTAGTACGTCACTCCCTCCACCCATATGCTTGATCGGCCTCTTGTTCTGTAGCCTACTGTTCTCGTGTAGTACGTCCCTCCCTCCACCCATATGCTTGATCGGCCTCTTGTTCTGTAGCCTACTGTTCTCATGTAGTACGTCACTCCCTCCACCCATATGCTTGATCGGCCTCTTGTTCTGTAGCCTACTGTTCTCGTGTAGTACGTCACTCTCTCCACCCATATGCTTGATCGGCCTCTTGTTCTGTAGCCTACTGTTCTCATGTAGTACGTCCCTCCCTCCACCCATATGCTTGATCGGCCTCTTGTTCTGTAGCCTACTGTTCTCGTGTAGTACGTCCCTCCCTCCACCCATATGCTTGATCGGCCTCTTGTTCTGTAGCCTACTGTTCTCCTGTAGTACGTCACTCCCTCCACCCATATGCTTGATCGGCCTCTTGTTCTGTAGCCTACTGTTCTCGTGTAGTACGTCACTCTCTCCACCCATATGCTTGATCGGCCTCTTGTTCTGTAGCCTACTGTTCTCGTGTAGTACGTCACTCTCTCCACCCATATGCTTGATCGGCCTCTTGTTTTGTAGCCTACTGTTCTCGTGTAGTACGTCACTCTCTCCACCCATATGCTTGATCGGCCTCTTGTTCTGTAGCCTACTGTTCTCGTGTTGTACGTTCTAGCTGCTGGCTGACTGAATTCCACCTTGACCAGATGACCAAACCATTTCATTCTTTGTTGTTCTATGAAATAATTAACCTGTACTGTGCCTACTATTGTTATTAGTTAGTTAGTCGACAGGTTATCGTCACTGCACGTCGAACCACTCAGTTCATAAATGCTCGGATCCCCTCCTTAGTAAATCCCGCAGCGTGTAGCCGCTGACGACGTCAGTTCTGTGTTGGCTTATCATTCTTCTTTGGCTACCCGTGTAGTGTTCTTGTTTGGTGACACCCCGTTTAACTAGGCTGTTCTTGCAGTCTGACCAAGGTTGCAGATTCACAGTTCTCAACTAGTTCAAGCAAACGTCTTGAATCTCGTAGAGCATTCAGTGTATCAGCCTGGTCCATGGCTTGTCCGGTTTTCATAGTAGCCTTACCTGCAAGTCTATCAGCTTGCTCGTTTCCTTGTACCCCCACATATCCTGGCACGAGGATAAAGCTAATCCTTGTCAGCTATAGAGCCGCCAACCACTGCCTTTTGACCCAGCCCCTCTCTATCTTGCTATTAGTTCTTCGTTGGCGAATCTGTCTCTTCTGCCAGCCGTCTTTACTTCCCCAGGACATACATCCTGGTACCCATTTTAGGCTGGGTCAATCTGCTACGCCCCACACCATGATAAAAATCCACGCAGTCAGCAGTGGGTTTCGATCGCAGAACGTTGCAATTACGAGTCTGACTCGCAAACTTAAGCCACGGACGTCGCCTATGCGTAGGATGCCATTTTCAATTTTCCAAAACATGGTCTGTGACAATGGTCCGAAAATCGATGCACCAGTTGTGGATGTTTTCCTAAACGAGAGCAGGGCCTTGCTAGTCACACTCACCATCGATAAGTATGTCATTCCCATCTCTCTCTACAGCCCAATGTCTGGAAACACGGAAAGGTCAACACAACCGACATTGGACTACTTGTTACTGTGTAAACCGGTTACCAACCGCTTTTTGGTGTCCCAACATCTGTGGTATATGACTGTACAATTGAACGAGGTTTTCGGAGTTAGTAGCTGTTTCTTCTTCTTCGCGTTCACCGGTTGTAAACTATAGTGGAAAGTTCGTCCACCTCTAGACTTTAGACTTGTTCCAGAACCTGAGTGTTGCGCGCACACCCGTTCAACATATCTGACTTATTTGTATGCAAACTGTTGGTTCTTTGCCTCTCAGATGCACTCCGCATTTGAAGAACCCCCTTCCCCAACAATTAGTCTACTCTTACGACATGCTTACTGGGGAGGCAGTGGGTCTGTTCTTGTTTTCCCCACAATGAAGCCCCGGATTCCACACGGGATTAGCAGCGGTTTGATTCTCATCCCTGAGATTTTAATTAATCCTAACAATCTTCCTCACTTTAAACCAGTTATCACCTAAGTCTTCTTTCATTCATTTATGGATGAAAGAGAGAATGGCCCTCATCATTTGTGATGGAGAAACAACAACAATCCTACAAAATGCAAATCTGGAGAGAGAAAACTTTTTTTTTAAAAATGACGTAAAGGTGGCAGCGACCGACAAGAAGACAGACGGCTAAATGAATGGATTACATATATATATATATATATATATATATATATATATATATATATATATATATATATATATATATATATATAATAATATCTTTTGCGCCTCTCCCCCTCGTGCTTAAAAATGTATTAGTAATTAAAGAAGTGACCATATGTATAACTTATCTGGGTTATAATTATGCGTTATAGAGCTCTCCCTCTCAGAAAACAAGATAAAATAGTTTGGTCATTTAGTAAGAGGTTTTGAACAAAGGATGGCACACGGTTGTAACCCATAAGTGCTCCGTTCTTCTTCCAACTCAAGTCTGAGTCTGAAGAAGCTCAGCATAGCACGGGCTCTGTAGCACCTGCGTCAACTGAAAGTGTAAGTGCCAATTACAGCTATCACGTGCACCCCTCACCATGGTTTACGAGAAAAGAATACAACGGACAGTGTCAAAGGGAACAGGGATAAATGAGAACATGAGTGCATCTAAGTTCAGAGCTAAGCATCTGAGGAAAAAGTAAAGTTAAATAAACGCAATGCCTACAATGGTTCTGAAATCCCAAGTTTTACCTCCGGAAGACTTCTTTGAACACAAGCAGGTCTTGCTGGTGACTCTCGGCATGAGGCTGTGAAGGTTGAACAACAGATCAATATCACGGCACAATGGTAGCAACCCTCAAGTGCTCCGTTCTTTTTCTAGCTCAGATCTGAATCAGATGAAGCTCAGCACAGTGCACAAGCTCTGTAGCACCGGCTAGGATCATGAAATACTTTAGGTAGATTTTTAACTCAAAATTTTGCCCGGGCAGCGCCGTTAGGCTACTCTTTTCGATTTCCAACTGCCAAGGGATTTTTACGTGCGCAACAAATGCACACGGACGTCCGAACTCCCTACCCAGAGACCAGGGGGAATGACCAAAGTCCTATCCACGTGTCAAAATCCCAGCCTTTACCGGGGATTTATACCGGAACCTCTAGTACTCAAGGCGGACAGCATGCCTCAAGACCACACAGCCCCCTATCTAGTAAGCATGCAGCAGTAACAACTACCGAACGCAGGCATTTCACATAAAAAGAACTGAAGTGAAAACAAGAAGTCGCCCTAAGAGGACATAAAGAGCTTCTACATCGACACAGAATGACAATAATCTCAATAGACAATACTGCTCATCAAGCAACAGATCGTAAACTGTTTCTCCGCACAACGCCTAACAGCTGAAGTGGCAATTGATGATGATGATGATGTTGTGATGAGAGCTTTTCTAATCTCCAGACGCAAGAAACCGGGAAAGGGCTAAGAATCCGACCAATCAGCGCGCTCGACACATCGAACTCCGTGCTCCCCCCGAAGAAGGTAAGCCATTTTCCTGACTCCATCGTTCTCCATTTTGGCGGTAATGTCATCTTTACGATATAATTATATTCCACCTGTTATCATTATGTTTATGGTCACATATTTATTTATGAAAATTGCTTACGTATTGTTCAGCTAGTCCTCGTCGAAACGAGGCTGTTTTTCTACAGTTTGAGGGAAACCAAGTTTTATTTACGTTGTTTCGGACGACAAGCTCGCTGCGTGGCCACTGTGACTATGATGCATGCCAGCTTGTATTCCAAAATAAAGGGATCATGTTATTTTCTTGAAAAAGATTTTTATATGATTATATTTAATTTTTATTTAAAACACAATGCACATTCAGCTTGATGTAATGTACATACAATGCACCTGGTTATAGAAAAGTTTAAAATCGTTAAAATAAAATGATTTCGACTAGAAAACTCACTGATGATGCCTGAGCCAAAAATAAGTGAATAGAAAATATAAAAAAAAAATTGTTAATAAATAGTAAATAAAAGTATTTAAGTAATTATTTCTTAGTGAGGTGGTTGTCATTGGGGACATTTATTTTTAAGGGCAATTAAGTGATGGAAGAGTGAGTGAGATGTATACCACTGGCACTATTACTACTATTACTATACCATACCTGTTATCGTATGACTATGATGAATAGTGATGTGTATGACTATGATGATCAGTGTTGGTGTGTATATGACTATGAGCTTTATGTGATTATATGACATGTATGTTATTAAATAACCTGTACGTAGTTGTTTGACATGTATGTGCGGTGTGTATATGACGTGCGGGCTATCCTCCGAATAACGGTTCCAAATTATCGAGGCCGAAAATATATAAAAAAAAATGAAGGGAGCTGCAGGAGATGTGGTAGCTGCTGCTCGTGAGTCCCAGCCATCTAGTTTAGCCCAAGTCCGCGCAGCGTGTAGCAGGAGATACTCTCGGCGGTATGCTGTGTAGTCACCGGAACGAGTCCACAATTTACATGTGACTGAGGCCCTGTTATGGTATATTTTTGGCCTAGATTATTTAGGACCGTTATTCGGAGGATAGCTCATGTGTGTATGACCTGTATACTATATGGTGTGTAACTATGTTGGGCCTGTATGTATGGTGTGTATGACCTGTATATGGTTGCATGACATGTATATGGTATGTATGAGTAGTCTGACCTGTATGTGTGGTGTGTATGACCTGTATGTGTGGTGTATATGACCTGTATGTGTGTGTGTTGTCATGCTTGTGTGATGTGTTTATAGCCTGTATAAGTATGCATGTGTGGTATGTATATTTATGTTCTATCTTTGTATAGCCTGTGTGTGGTTTGTATGTTTCTGTATTCTGACATTTGTGGCGTGTACAGCCTCTGTGTGGAATGTATGTTTTGTCTTCTTCTTCTTTGCATTCGGTTTCATATGCTCAGATCAGACCATCAGGTGTGTTGCCTCTATGAACTCACATTTCAGTAGCAGGCCCTTCATGGTTCCACATAGTTTGCTCTGCACACTTTGCTCTTGAGGCCAGGTGTCTTTTTGAAGTTGTGTGTAGAGTGGGCAGGTCTGCAGAATGTGCTCATGTGTTTGTGGTCCTGTTTGACAGGCACACTGTGGGGACTGTAAAATATTTATTTTATGCATGTTGAGTCTGCAGTATCCTGTTCTGTGTTTTGTCTAACAATTTTCAGGTGTTTTATGTTTAAAAAAAATATCTGCCATCTTCACAGTGGAGGTTGACTACAGTACACCCACTGCTGTCTCTGGGAATGTGATATCATGAGGCTTCAATCTCTTCCACGATGGTCCTCTCCTACCACATTTAAGAGCCATCAGAGAGCATAAAATAGTTGAATGTATTAACTAACTCACAAAGAATGAACTCGAGAACTTGATAACAACTGGAAAGATTGTTGGAAAGGAAGCAAGGCAAACCATAAAAACCCTGATGGCCTGGACAGATGGATGGGGCGAGACAAAAACATTGAACTGATCTGTGATTCTGATGATCATGTAAGATGGCGAAAAACACGGTTTTTTATGAATGATCCCAGGGTCAAATGATATCCCTGCCATATGAGAGCTCATTAGGATTTCTGATCTCGATTGCCAGAAAGGAGCTGGGGTGGTGGAGAATATACCAACTGCTTCCCACAATAAGCTTGTCATAAGAGTTGACTAATCAGGGATTTTCTTAAAAGTCAGGGTGTATCTGCCTGAGAGACAAGGAACCAGCAGTCTGCATACAAATATGTCAGATCTGGTAAATGGATGGGCATGCAAAACTCAAGATCTGGATCATGAGACTGAAGTCCAGAAGTGGACAAATCACCAGAACGTTTCACTGAAGTTGACAGCCAGTGAAGGAGACATTAAATTAATTATTTTTGATTGGACTTTTTTTCTGTGTTGATTTGGTTTTTCTATAAAGTTTTTAATGTGTGTTTGGTATATGTGTCTATAAAGACACATGAATATATGCACAAATGTTAGTACACATATACCATTTGCAACATAAGACCATTTACTTGGTTAGATTTAAACTTGAGAAATCCATGAAATCCCATATACAAGTTTGGTAAAATTTGCACTGGTCCATAACAATCTGTTTTTGTTTTCCTTATCAGGTAATAACGTTAAGTCAGTCCAGAATATCCAGTGAGCGAAGAAATGGCAGACGAGGAAGACTCCCTCGACCAAAACGATATCAAACAAAATGAGTTCAGTGAGAATGAAACTGGCAATGACAATGAGGAAGACAGTGGGGGGATGGCTGACGATGCAGTCGATACAACAGCCGACTTCCTGAAGGTTTTTCAAGGAAAGACTGAGTTTGACAGTTGGGAAGAGTTCAGTACTTTATTTGAGGAGTTTCAGAAGGAGACTGGTTCAGGTAACTGATTCAAGAATACATTTAAATAGGCTGCCCCCTTCCTTCTTCTTTTTCCTAATCCTACTCTGCCTCATCTTCGATCTCCTAAACCCAGCTGCTTTTCTCTTACCTTCTGCATTTTCATTCTTCTCCCCCTTTTTATAAGCTACTATTAAGTTCACTTTTGTTTGTCTGGTACAATTTTTGTGTTCATATTTTGTTTTTGTTTTCTTCATCGTGTGGGTAAAAAGTAAAGGATCCTTGTCAATACTGCTTTATACTTGTGGTACATCATAAAAATTATGCTCATATTTTCATAGACGAGTTGGCACTCAATGGGTGACGTAGTGATCAGCATGTCATGCTTCTTTACTTTTTGGAATTTTCTAGTATACAGTTTAGACTGGGTCACCCTGGGAGACACAGTCATGAAAAATCCAACCATTGTGGATTTGAACCCAAGATCTATAGGCTGAAGGATGATCATCTAGTCGCACCTTCACAGCTTCCCACAATTGTAGCTACAGTGTTACTATTCTTTGCTTCCCATAAAAGCCTAAGTTATATATGACAGGATCCCTTGTCACACAGTATTCCACTCTTTCATAACCAGAAAATTTAATGTAGCAACTGTCAAATGAGACAGTAAATCTGGATAGACATGAACCCCTGTTATAGAGAAAGCAAGAATAGACCCACTGCCTACCTAAAAGCATGTCGTAAGAGTCGACTAATTGGAAGTGCATTTGCCTGAGAGGCAAGGAACCAACAATCTGCATACAAATGTGTCAGATCTGCCAAATGAATGCACATGCAACAGGACTGCAGTCCAGAAGTGGACAAACAACCAGAACTTTCCACCAGAGTTTGCAGCTGGTGAGCGCAAAGAAGAAGATAGACATGACTGTCAATGCCACATGGTGTACACTGTAAGAAGAAGACTACTTAAACAAATTGAGTTTTAGTCGACAGATTATCATCATTAAACATCAAAGCATTCAGTCCATACATGCTCGGATCCCCTCCTTAGTAAATCCTGCAACATGTAGTGGCTGACGGCACCAGTTCTGTGCTCGTTTATCATTCTGCTTTAGCTTCCTGCATAGTGCTCTTGTCTGGCTAGACCCCATTGAAGTCTGGTCATGGTTGCAGATTCACAGTCACTTGGTTTTTAGTAAAGGTCTTACTTCTCATAGAGCATTCAGTATATCAGCCTGGTCCATGGCTAGTTCACAGTAGATTTACTAGCAAGCCTATTGGCTTGCTCATTTCCTTACATGCCTGCGTCCCCTCTTCTTGGAAATGGGTATTGATCGAAGACAAGCATGCAGAAACCAGTTGCAGTGCAAAGAACGAAGATATGCCAGTCAACTCCTACAGTGTATATCAAGCATGGAGATGTTGATATGGCTGCTGAATCGGAGGATGAAGCACAAACAGGTCGGACTGATTTTCTAGGTTGTCCGCACAGATGACAAGCAACAAAATGTGTCAAACAGTTTCTAACTTGTTCGTAAAAAATACTTTTCTTGAAGTGTGAGTATTTGCCACAGGCGCAGGAAAATAGGGCATTGTATCTGTCTTGATGATAATAGCAAAACCAGCCATAGTTCATTCAGTGACATCAGTTTATAAAACACTTTCTCAGTATATTGTTGTTGGTACCTTCCCTCCTTTGCAGACTGTAGGGCTGTATTGTGCATTATCGAGGCATGAGAATCACAAGGAGACCCTCAGTGTTAGGAAAACCTTCCACAATTTTCCAAGACAAGACCAGAAATAAAAAAAACTACAAAAGTTTTTTCCCCTACAACGTTGCAGTCTGTCGGATTAGCATCTCAAAGATAAAGATTGAACAGTTACAAATCCCTGAAACCATTCAGCCGTATAGCGGTTATATTGGGGCACCACAAAATGGTTATGAAGGGACTTGTAGCCCAGTGTGGGTGGGCCTGATGTGTTGATTGACAGCAATGAAGTTCTTCCTCGCTGAAGTCTGGGCAGTATTGTAGAGATTATGTGTTGCCAATTCAGCATGAGCTGTCTCTCAGCCTGCCAAAGGAAAGGTACCCCCTACACCCTTTCCCTCTCGTAAAGGCTGATATATTTTCATGTCTTTAGTGACCTATTCTTAAAAAACAGCTAACTTCTATTATCTCTGTTATATACTCCGCAGCCTTCAAGCCAAAGTCAGCAACTAGTATTGAATATGCAAATGAGCGCAGAGTGAAGGACAAAATTGAAGACAGATTTGTGTATCAGACAGTGAAGATGGTGTGCCAGCATTATGGGAACCCTGTTAAAAGGGAAAGCAGTACCAGGAAAATTAAGAAGTAAGAGTTGTTATCCTTGTTCTTGTTTTCTGTAGCTGTTTTTTTTTTTTTAAATTCTTCTGTATTTGCTCTTTAGCTGGTTGTGATACAGCACCCTAAATGTCGATGTGTTGCTCTTTCTGCACTGACTTGTTACTACAAATGTTAAATGCCATTGATGGCAAGTGACGTTAAACCTCACCAAGACCGCACATGAGCGACCAACACCTGGCGACACAAAGTGACATTTTTTGGGTGAAGATCCCATGGGCACAAGATCCAGTAATCCCATCCAACTGTTATTTTAGGGCCCCTGACAACAGCTCAGGTGGAGCTTTGAAAAAAAAAAATTCCCTATTTTGGGGCAGAACTAAAACATAATGCCATTAGTTGTGCGTGTACCTGTGCAGTTTAGGATGCCTATGTGCTAATATGTAAACTAAACAGCATTTCTAAGGGTTTCCATGTAAATTCAATAGCTTCTCCAGAGTCAGGTTGAGTTAACATTTTCCTGTACACCTCAGTGATAGAGGTCAGGTCATGAGTGTTTTACTGATTACTGTCCCTTTATATATCTATGAAACAAAAACTGTTGAAATGTTGATCAATAAACTTGTAAACAATTTATTAGTTACCTGTCTAAAATAGTTTGTTTTTAAAGGATTTGTAGGAACATTCTCACATAAATCATTCGACAATTTTGAAAAGTTTAAATGTTTTATTTTTATTGGTTACCATTCATGGGGTGAAAGGTTTGAAAGAAATGCCAGTGTAATCGTTAACAATCCTGCAAAGGTTTTAACACAGCTTTGTAGGTCTTCATGTAGGCTTCATCTGAAACAAGTCACCCAGTTTATTGACATTATTGAATTTACAGTTGGTCTTGTCTACTGATTGCAGGTATGTGGGTCTTGGGTGCGAGGCAATGGTACATCTCCGGTACAAGCGGGGAAGCCTCAACATAGTCAGCTGCAATCTGGAGCATAGGAATCACAAATTGTTCTCTGGCAGCGAGGTTATTAGGTAGGTAGGGATGTCAATGACTTTTTGTTGCCCACTGTGTTTGTGGCTGTTGACTCTGTGAAGTAGTTGGGGGGGGGGGGGGGGGGTGTGTTAAAGAACCCCTTTTTATGCCATTGACACATTAGGCATATGGCGTTTGAATCATATTTGTACAGATCCATAAACACTCCATGTGTCACATGGTCAGGGCCACACTGGCTTCGTTTGCTTCACAGGAAACATCCATTTTAGGCTGGGTCACCTTTAGAGTCAAGGCCACTCTTTAAAAAAAATTTGACCTTGGTGCAGATTTGAGTCCAAGGCCTTTAGGTCGCTGAGTCTCTAGTCACCGTGGCTCCCGCAGTTGATTATTGAGTGCTTGTTTATGAGGCAGAATTTAGAATTGTGTTGCTGGGTGTTTTTTTTTATATATATCAATATATTGAGGGCAAACCCTTGTTTTTTTATATATCATCTTCTTCGTCTTTGCATTCACTGGCTGTAAACTCTGTCAGAAAGTTCTGGTTGTTTATCCGCCTTTGGACTTTGATCTTGCTTGAGAATTTTGTATGCACATCCGCTTATTTACAGATCTGGCTTATTTGTGTGCAGACTGTTGGTTCTTCATCTCTTAGGCAGATGCACTCCAGCTTTGAAGGAAACGCCCTTAATTAGTCGTTCTATTGCATGCTTGTTGGGGGAGTGGGGTCTATTTCCCCCCTCCTTTTGAAACAGAGCCCCAGAACCCACACAAAGAGTTTTAAAATATGAAAGGAAATCATGGACATGCTAGCCAATATACAGCTTTGAGGTCCATTAATTGGCACCTGCGATCAAATAAAGTTTGTGTTTTGGTTCGATCGTTAACTCTTTCAGGCCTTCTCAACACTCTGTGTTTTAAGAAGTTCCGAATTGGCGAAACCACAAAGTCTGCATCGATTGTATGCCCTGTAACATATTGCTTTAAATACTGCTGCGTATTTGCTTTTAATGTTCGGAGCTACCATTAAAATATTCAGGAAAGATTACTCTAATGTTTGTTTGTTTACAGGTCTTTATGTATAAATTTAGATTCACAGTTGTAAAATTTATTGCGTGTATCATTTTCAGTCAGTGAAATTTGCAATTTTATCTTTGACTTACCATGGATACCGGTGTTTAGAGCACAAGTACAGGTCATAACATGCGTCTTTCTGTGACTTAAAGCTCTGAAATGGTTTCAGTCAGATGTTTGATCTGGCTACGATAATAAAAACCTAAAATTTGTTGGAAAGTGACTCTGACAGTGAATTAGCACCAGCGACAACTGTTAGACAATCTAGCAGTTCTGATGAGCTAAACCCGAGAGGACCCATTTTATTTGCAAACAAATGTTATAGTCACCCATATTTGCATTCAGAGGACTGTTTGAAACAGTACCATACTGTGGCTGTGCTGCGTTGAATACATTGCTGCTACAGTCTGTATATAAACTGTAAAAGGTCACTGCTATCTGTTTTTCCACTTTTTAGGGTGGAGAGGTCAAGGGGGGCCTCAAGTCTGAGGATTTAGGGCCTCCTGGCTAGTGTTGTTGCCATGGACTGTGCAGGTTGCTATGTTTAATTGTGCCCCCGGCAGAAAAACTCCATCACTTTTTAGGGGGTCGAACTCGGGTCTCCTGCATGAGAGCCTGACATTTTTACCAGATTACTGTACAAAAGTAAATTTTTTGTGCATAATGGTCCATTTTCTGCCATTATTTCTTTTAAATTTTAATCAGCGCTCTAAGAGAACATAGAGCCTCTGATAACTAACCCAGAAACTTATGATTACTTTTTTTTGAATTTGAAAATTGAACAAACTTCAAAGTTGTATTCTCAAATTTGAATATTCACTGCTTTTATGGCTGCAAAACCATGGTAGGTGAAGACAATTTGGGGGGGGGGGGGGGAGTTGCAGTAACACATATTTTCTCCCCCAACACCTGCTGAATCCATTTTTTCTACTAACTGCAACAGCATTAAACAAAAAACATCAGATTAAAAATGTACATTCATTCCTCTTTAAATGTAAATATATATATGTATATATGTGTGTGTGTGTATGTACCTTTGTAGGGATTAGAAATAGTATATCACATTCTCAATTGCCCTTTTTTGAAAAGGGAAACTAATGTGAGCCCAGTCTGTCAGAATTGGTGGACCAGAAAGAGTTAAGCTGCTTGCTTGGGTATTTATATTTGTCTAAAAAATCACCTACACACTTTATTTTCCGTCGGAAAAGACTGACCACTTGTGTACTTCTCCCAAGAATTATTAAAATGAACAGGTTTGAACAACGGATCAACATCATGGCAAACTGGTAGTAACCCATAAGTGCTCCGTTCTTCTTCTAACTCAAGTCTGAGTCCGAATAAGCTTAGCACAGTGCACAAGCTCTGTAGCGCCAACATGATTGACTTCATAAACTAGTGAACTCATTTTGAGTCGTAAACTATATTTATCCTTTGTTGATATGCAATGTATTTCATTTGACCCTCAGAAATGTCCGATCGTTCTCTTTCACGGATGATGTTGACTTTCTCATGGCAAAGGTTGTGATGGAGCATAATCCATTTTCCACGTGGAATTCTGAAAAAGAGTGGCTGGCCTTGGTTGAAGATCTCCAGGGCCGAGACCCCCGGATGAAAACAGTAACAATACGAGTGGTCAAGAAAAGAATTCGGTTTCTCATCGACAGATATATGGCCAACAGCAATGGCAAGTCAGTAATGGTTTTTAATTAACTTTAAGCTACCTCTTCTTCCTCAGTTTTCTACTTTTCCTTATCCTCTCATCTTCCTTTTCATCTTCTCCTAATCCCCTCTTCTTATTTCCTGTTCACCGCATCTTCTTGGTATTCTTCTTTTCCTCCTAAGGTTCTTCCCCTTATTTATTCTTCTTCTTATCTCCTATTCTTATTGTTTCCTCTTAGCCACATATTTTTGACAATGTGGTAATTTTGATAGACAGTTGGCATGTTGTTTACAGCTAGGCCGCAATATCTGGGTCTTTCGGTCCAACATAACCCTTAATTAGTGGATTTTTTAAAGACATGTTTGTTAAGGAGGCAGTATTTCTTTTTCCCCTAGTTAGGTCCACAGAACCCGCATAGACCAATGGTTCTTCTTTTATTGTACAATATTTTTTTTAACCGCTACCCAACAGGCCTCCACTGCCAGATGATGAAATGGGAATCATTCTGTACGAACTAGCAAAAGCCAAACAAGACGCCATGGACAACGTACCCAAACAACCTATCAAAAAGAGAGGGCGGGGAAGGCCCAGGAAAAGAGAACGTGAAGAAACTGATGAGGAGGAAGAAGACATAGAGGAGCCACATCTGGACTTTGATGACTCGCCAAGTTTTTCTCCAGGTAAGCAGACATATTTTATGCTGTCTCTCTTTGTCAGTTGAGACAAGAAAGAGAATTCTTAAAAGCTACATAAATCCTATCTTGATATATAGAAGTGAATTATGGACAGTTAGTAGATTAGTGAAAAATTGTTTGGAAGTTGCGGAGATGTGGTTTTATAGATGATGAGAATAAGCTGGGCAGATTTAAAAAAAAGAGTAATGATGATGTCTTGAAAGACACTGGCTCACGAAGAGAACAGATTGCCAAAATCAGAAAGTGACAATCTACATTCTTTGGCCATGTGATAAGGAGAAATCTAGAGTACATCGTGGCAGTAGGAGAGGCAGAGAGATACCGAGAGAAAAGATTCTGGACAGTTTGACACGGCATGGAGGATCAGATCGTCTGTGTCAGAGTTGATTGAAAGTACACGAGACAGAAGGTTGTAGATAGACATCACTACCATCGCCACATGGTATGGACTTTAAGAAGAACCAGACATATTCTGATTATCTTGCACATACTGTTAATGGATTATTTTGTACAGCGCTGACATAGCTGTTTTAGTTAGATAGGTAGTTAGTCGCAGTTCCAACTTTACAGTACACTAGTCACCCCACATTCATTCCGCTCCTCTGGCTGTAAAATCTTAAATGCCTGCCCGTTGCGAAAAAAACAATAATTGAAATTGACAGCACTTTCAGCAAAGCTAACATTTAATCTGTAAGGTCCGTGTGTGCGTGCTGTTGCCTCATTGTGGGCTAAGAATGAAACAGACCCACTGTCCACAAACAAGCATGTCGTAAGAGTTGACTAATTAGGGAAGTTTCCTTCACAGTCGGTGTGTATCTGCTTGAGAGACAAGACACCACAACTGTGCATACAAATAAGTCAGATCTATAAAATGGATGTGTGTGCACAATTCAAGTTCTGGAAACAAGAACTACAGTCCAGAAGTGGAGGAACAACCAGAACTTTCCACTGGAGTTTACAGCCGGTGAATGTCAGGAAGAAGAATCTATTCGGCAGCCACCAGATATGCCAACAAAAACTGTTTACCACTATTCATAAGGGAAAGCTACCACCTAATCTTTAATCTCCACCTTCAAATCGTCTTTTCTCACAGTAGTATGGACAGAATCACATCTGTATGTTGGTAATACCTAACATATTTTTCCGTTTTTAGAATAAATAATTTTTTAAGTTTTAAATTGTGGGTCTTCTTATACATAAGAGCATCCTAAATACAGCTTCTAGTCACTGTTCTACATCAGTCGCTGTTTTTTTTTGTTTGGTAAACTTTTGTAATATCTGGGCTGTAATATGTTAACATTTTGGCTGTGTTAACACTTGGTAACACTTTTGTAACACTTGTGTAATATTTGGTTTTGTGTAATCTGGCTGTTGGTAACACTTGTGTAATATTTGGTGGTTTGTAACATCTGGCTGTTGGTAACACTTGTGTAACATATGTCTGGCTGTTGGTAACACTTGTGTAACATCTGGCTGTTGTTAACACTTGTGTAACATCTGGCTGTTTGTAACACTTGTGTAACATCTGGCTGTTGTTAACACTTGTGTAACATCTAGCTGTCTGTAACATTTGCAGGTTCTGCCTCACCAGAGAAGAGCAAAATCAAGAAGCTGGCGACCCCCATCACCGTCATCTGGGAAAGACATCTCGGCATTTCTGAGATACATGGAACGGAAAGATGAACAAGATAGAAATATGCGACAGCAGGAGCTGGATCTGCGAAGGGAAGAGCTGGAGCTGCACCGAAAGGAACTGGAGCTGCAGAAAGAGAGGGTTGATTACGAGCGCTTAGAGAGGCAAGCTCACTTAGATTTGCTGAAAATGCAGCTTGATGTCATCGCTGCTCCAAAGACTCGACAGATAATTACAGACAATAAAGTCAACAATGGCGTTACTGAATACACGATCGTTGTCAATGATGACCAGGCTTTTACAGCACAGTGATGCCTGAATTGAAATATTTATGCCTATTTGGATAATAAATGTTGCAGGGCAGTATTTTCAGTGTGTATTGGAATTACTTAAAGTTATTCACACATATTTACATTATTTTTATGGTATGGGGAAAGCTACTTGTTCAAGATTGGTTAAAACCCTCTGCGCTGTGACAGGTGAGCAAACTCCTTGTTGTCCAGGGGTAGGCAGAAAAGCCACATTTCTCCCAGATTTATGGTATCTATCATGGAATCAAGGCCGAAGGGTTGCAATATCTATAGTACCGAGCCAAAGGGTTTACAGCTCATGGTTTCTGGACACTTAAAAAAAAATTTCAAGATCCACTTGTGGAATTAATTCAGGCCTAGGTTTCACATAAAGTTCCTTTGTCCATTTACCAATCCCACTGTGAGAAAAACAGTAACAGACCGACTGCTTTCCCAACAAGCATGTCATAGGAGTCCACTAATTGGGGACTTCCTTCAAATTTAGAGTGCATCTGCCCGAGCGGCAAGGAACAATCAACTGCACATAAATAAGCCAGTAAAATGGATATACATGCAAAACTCATTCACTGGCTCAAAGTCCAAATGGACAAACAACTAGGACTTTCCAACAGAGCCTACAGCTGGTGAGCAAAGAAGAAGAAGAAATGTTTGCATGTTGACACTGTCATTTTCACACTCAGTGTGTTCTTGACCATATCTTGGAGATTCTTACAGCCTAAAGAGGTTTAATGTTAAATCATTAGTGCAGCTTGTACCTTTCTGAAGGCAGGGGGTATAAAGATGGAGTCCACAGGAGTATGAAGATGGGAGTCGGCAGGGCTATGAAGATTGCATTTATAATTTGTTGTTTTGTCTTTGTTGGGAGAGCCAAGTTTTCACAAATGTTCAAAATAACTGCCAGTAAATAGTGACAGAAGAACTGGATATCTTAACTTACATCAGTGATGAGGTACAAGGGTCTAATCTATCACAGAGATGGGCACATTTTGGAGGCTTGTGTAAAATTACTATGTAATCTGGCTCAGCAAATAGCAGAACACTTCTTTTTCTTCATCTTTTATCATCTCACTGATACCAGGTTGTAGCCCAGTGTCATGGTTTCATCATCTCACTGATACCAGGTTGTAGCCCAGTGTCATGGTTTCATCATCTCACTGATACCAGGTTGTAGCCCAGTGTCATGGTTTCATCATCTCACTGATACCAGGTTGTAGCCCAGTTCATGGTTTCATCATCTCACTGATACCAGGTTGTAGCCCAGTGTCATGTTTCATCATCTCAACTGATACCAGGTTGTAGCCCAGTGTCATGGTTTCATCATCTCACAGATACCAGGTTGTAGCCCAGTGTCATGGTTTCATCATCTCACTGATACCAGGTTGTAGCCCAGTGTCATGGTTTTATCATCTCACCGATACCAGGTTGTAGCCCAGTGTCATGGTTTTATCATCTCACTGATACCAGGTTGTAGCCCAGTGTCATGGTTTTCTCATCTCACTGATACCAGGTTGTAGCCCAGTGTCATGGTTTTCTCATCTCACTGATACCAGGTTGTAGCCCAGTGTCATGGTTTTCTCATCTCACTGATACCAGCTTGTAGCCCAGTGTCATGGTTTTATCATCTCACTGATACCAGGTTGTAGCCCAGTGTCATGGTTTCATCATCTCACTGATACCAGGTTGTAGCCCAGTGTCGTGGTTTCATCATCTCTCTGATACCAGGTTGTAGCCCAGTGTCATGGTTTCATCATCTCATGATACCAGGTTGTAGCCAGTGTCATGGTTTCATCATCTCTCTGATACCAGGTTGTAGCCAGTGTCATGGTTTCATCATCTCTCTGATACCAGGTTGTAGCCCAGTGTCATGGTTTCATCATCTCACTGATACCAGGTTGTAGCCCAGTGTCATGGTTTCATCATCTCACTGATACCAGGTTGTAGCCCAGTGTCATGGTTTCATCATCTCACTGATACCAGGTTGTAGCCCAGTGTCATGGTTTCATCATCTCACTGATACCAGGTTGTAGCCCAGTGTCATGGTTTCATCATCTCTCTGATACCAGGTTGTAGCCCAGTGTCATGGTTTCATCATCTCTCTGATACCAGGTTGTAGCCCAGTGTCATGGTTTCATCATCTCTCTGATACCAGGTTGTAGCCCAGTGTCATGGTTTCATCATCTCACTGATACCAGGTTGTAGCCCAGTGTCATGGTTTCATCATCTCACTGATACCAGGTTGTAGCCAGTGTCATGGTTTCATCATCTCACTGATACCAGTTGTAGCCCAGTGTCATGGTTTCATCATCTCACTGATACCAGGTTGTAGCCCAGTGTCATGGTTTCATCATCTCACTGATACCAGGTTGTAGCCCAGTGTCATGGTTTCATCGTCTCACTGATACCAGGTTGTAGCCCAGTGTCATGGTTTCATCGTCTCACTGATACCAGGTTGTAGCCCAGTGTCATGGTTTCATCATCTCACTGATACCAGGTTGCAGCCCAGTGTCATGGTTTCATCATCTCACTGATACCAGGTTGTAGCCCAGTGTCATGGTTTCATCATCTCACTGATACCAGGTTGTAGCCCAGTGTCATGGTTTCATCATCTCACTGATACCAGGTTGTAGCCCAGTGTCATGGTTTTCTGTACTTGTCTTGTACTTTTCATGTGGCTTGGGTGATGGATTTGTTTCATCTTTTTTGCAGGTTTTAGCTACACCATTTATTTCTTGGTCTTCCTCTCAGATGTTTTTTTTTGGGTGGGTAAAAAGTCTCATATGCAGTTTGGTCTGGCTGCATTCTCGCTAAATGGCTGAACCATTTCATTCTTTGTCAATATAATCCATACATGGTCTTATTCTGACTTTCTCTCTCTAATGCTGGTATTCGTAACCCTGTCTCTTCTTAGAGTGTTAGTGACCTTGCGGAGACAGCACATTTCACATGTAGTTATTTTCTGTTTTAGTGTCCATAGCAGAACATCAAAAACATACATTTATACACTGAAAGACAAAATATTTCAAATATCAGCACCCCCGTGTGGGTTCCGGGGCCCCATTGTGGGGAAAACAAGAATAGACCCACTGCCTCCCAAAAAGCATATCGTAAGAGTCGACTAAATGGGGAGCTTCCTTTGAAGTCACAGTGCATCTGCCGGAGAGGCAAGGAACCAACAGTCTTTATTCAAGAGAATGAGATCTGTAAAACTGATGCACATGCAACACTCAGGTTCTGGAGCAGGACTGCAGTTCAGTAGTGGACGAGCAACCAGAACTTTCAGCCAGAGTGTACAGCTGGTGAACGCGAAGAAGAAGAAATATCAGCATCCAAAGAAAGTGATAATTGAAACGGAGATAAAAATGATCCTGCTGGTAAAACTCAAACTTTACAAGGCAGCTTCTTTAGAAGGACTTTGTTAGTAAAAAAAACACACTTAGGAATATGTAGATGTGCTTTACTGGGTGAGTGAGTGTGGCCTGGGCGTATCGTGGGACTATAATCTTAGATTATGTCACAAAAATATTCATATTATGAGGAAATTTGGGTAGTTATAATAAATTCTTTCTATATGTTGCGCAACATATTGATAATTCTAAATTTAGCCTGAGGACATTTTAAAAAAAAGGTTGCCCACCCCTTGTCTAACAACATTACATCTCTGCAGATTGATGTGATGTTGTGTGTAAATTCACTCTGGTTATATTTAATTGTGTTTGTAAATAAAATTTCTACTTTTATTGTTCAGGCTGTTTCAGAGATGTGTGTGTTGAATGTGTGGAGTCGTTTTTGATAACAGGTTCCTGTGTGGTTTCCCGGGCCCCCATGCCTCGGAGGGAACAAGAATAGATCCACTGCCCCTCTACCAACATATCTTAGGAATCAGCTAATTAGGGTTTCCCTTGAAGTCGGAACATATGTCTGAGAGGCGTGGAACCAACAGCCTGCATAAAATCAAGCCAGATCTGTGAAATCAATTTCTAGAACAAGACCGGAGTCCATAAGTGGACAAACAACCACAACTTTCCGCCAGAGTTTATAGTCGGTGATAGCTGAAAAGTAGATGACATGTCAATCAAAATGAGAAAGAAATATAAGAAACTGAGTAAATGAAAGCAGGTTTTATAAACAAACTGCCTTACAGTAATTTATTTGCTCTTGTAAGTTACTCTAAAATATTAACAAATGTATATTAAGAACAGTACAAATAATGTAAATATCTAGTTAGACAATGGTCAATGCGCGAGCTTGGTATATTCTTACGAAACTGGTCATTTGTTGTGAGAACATTTCTGGTTTTCCTGTGATGGGGAACTGCTGTGTAGTGGCTAGACACTCGCTCGCTTGCGGATCCAAAGGTTGTGGGTTCACATCCACATAAAGCCATTTTTTTTTTTTTACACAGGACCTTGCCCCCTGGTTTACCGAGCAAAAATGGGACAGTCCTAGGGTTACTTTAATTTATATGACCACATTTCGTCGGCTCTGAGATTTAGGAGAGAATTTCTAGGGGTTTCCTTGGATTGTACTAAATACTTGGGGGGGGGGGGGGGGTGTATTAGGTCTAGTGTAAAATAAATGATTAGCGACTATGACTAAGCCTCTATACTATGGGAATTTCCCTACCAAACCTCAAAGGTGATGAGAGGTGGTCATATGAAATTAAAGTGCCGACCTAGGAAATGGAGGTGGTCGATGTGATGCTGACCCCATCAGCTGAGCATTGGACTGATTAGGCTATACAAATATGAGTCTAACCTCATGCCCAATGTGCCTCTGGCATTTGAAGGGATCTTTACTTTCTTCGATGGGTGTACCTCTTATCCCAGAGGTTAGTCGTTGCCGAGGTGCCAACTTCACTGCAGACATCCCCCCATAACTGCTCCATTTCTATGTTGATGGAAATCATACAACAAATCTGCTCCAAAGTAAATACATAAGGCAGCCATCAGAGGTGCCAAAACCAACAGTCCACCACCAAAAATTGCAGCTCACTGCAGATGCAAGCAATCCATCCCAAAAGCTGCATTCTGAAATGTTATTGGCCCTCCGCCATTATTAGTATAGTTTTCAACAAAAAAAAGCAGGTGTGGGCACAACAGAAGAAGAAAAAACATTCCATATGAAATCCACAGCTCACAGTGTTGCATCAAGCACTTAACTCAGGAGCTCAACTCACAAACTCTTGGTTTTTCGCTCTGGAATTCGAGGGTTGGCTGTAATCCAATCAACATTATTGTGGGGAAATCAAGAACAGACCCACTGCCTCCCCAACAAGCATGTCATAAGAGCCGACTAACTGGGAGCTTTCTTCAAAGTCATCTGCTCAAGCGGCAAGAAACATCCAATTGCACAGAAATAAGCCAGTAAAATGGATGTACAGGAAAGGACCTGGAACAAAATCAAAATTCAAATGGACAAACAGGCAGGTCTTTTGAAGCTTACAGCTGACAAACAAAGAAGTAGTTCAACATGGAAAGTTAAAAAAAAAAATCAGTATATGATATCTGGCCTATGGTACGAGAGTCGTACTTGGAAGAGACTGGGGCCTTACTACACAATATTCCTAAAGACAACAGTGTGGCCAACCTTTATTGCAGAGATGCACATAATTTTTTATAGACTGTAATGGGAAACAGGTGATGGCTAGTGTAACTAGCACATTTCCAAGACCAACTGAGGCCGGGGATGAAGTTTGTCCTCTCTATAGCACAAAGTAAAAGGACCCACTTTACTTCCTTTTATTTTAACCTGGCACCCATTAAAGGCTGAATCCAGATCATCTTTGAAAACAATCTGGCTTCATGCGGATTTGAACCCCACAAATTTTGCATTAGCAAACAAGTATCTAGCCGCTAAACCACGGTGGCTTGCCCCCATCGCACAAAGCCTGAGCAGTATTGTAGAGGTCATATATTGCCTCTGCTGCACGATCCCTCTCTCGGCTGAACATATTTGCTCCAAAGGACAAGTAACACAAATATGTTTGGAGCAAACCATGCTGCAGCACTACTTAAGACTCCTTATATCAGCGGTTCTCAACCTGCAGCTCGCGACCCTTTTTTAAAGTCGAAGGCCCTTTTGCAGGGGTTGCCTAAGAAAATCGGAAGAACATATATTAATTGCAGTTATGAAGGAAAATAATTGCTTGGGGGTCGCCACAACGTCAGGGAACTTTATTAAAGAGTCGCGGCATTAGAAAGTTTGAGAGTCACTGCCTTATATAATATGTTGCAATTAAATATAACAATATGCTATATCATACAGTAACATTACACAAAAATATAACAGTACAGAGTAACATCAAATTGTATCTTTCACAATCAATGTAAAAGTAATCCTAAGAAGACTAGTTTTCTTACCTTCATTTCCTAATCGGTAAAAAGGTAACTGGGCCGAAACTGACACAATATGATTTTTCAAGACTCATTTTTCCCAGTGGAGTCCAGGTCTCTTTTGGGGAGGGGGGGGAAAGAGGAGACCAACTGGCTCCATAACAAGCTCGTCGTACTAATTAGGGGTGTTTCCTCTGAAGTAATTATATTTCCATGAGAGGCGAGGAACCAACAGTCTGCATATAAAAAAGTAAGATCTGTAAAAGAGATGTGCAAGCAAAGCTTAAGTTATGGAACAAGACCAAAGCCCAGAAGTGGACGAACAACCAGACCTTACTGCTGGAGTTTACAGCCGCTGAACACTAAAAAGGAGACGACCCATTCGGTTGTTACATTAACCCACTCTGTCCCACTTTTTATCTTCAATCTCTGTGTGTCCCAAAAGTGTTATTATGACACGTCCTACTTTGTTGTGGTTTGCATCTAGGCTGCGATATCTGCACATTTCAGCAAACCCATAGCTTTTATGAAATGTTTGTTGTGGGTAAATCTCTCTCTCTTGTTTGTTTGGAACTAGTAACGATAGGCCCAGCTCCGCTCATCTACTAACTAGATCACCTTTCATTGATGCCTGCTCAAGCTGGTCCGCATTGCTCAAGATTACAGGGGTGTCCCGGCCTACTGCTGTAGTTTGCAATCTCTTGTGGGACCTGTGTTCAGTGGGGGGGGAAGGGGTGGTTTAGGGCCAGTTGTACATGTTATGGGGTCATTAAAGGTGCTCACATTCTTTAATAAAGAGCATGCGTGGGGCAAAACTTATCTCATTCCATCCCGAGGAACGCATTATGTATTTATCAGTCCCTACCTAAAAGCTCAGTAAACATAAACTGTGCCGATTTTTTTAATCTTTCTTGACCAGCGGTTCTCACTCAGTGGGTCGCGACCCTTTTTTGGGTTGAATGATCTTTTCACAAGGGTCGTCTAAGATCATCGGAAAATACATATTCAAGTTATGAAGTAGCAAAGAATATAACTTGGGGGGGGGGGGGGGGGGGGCGCCGCCACAACGCAAGGGACTATATTAAAGGGTCGCAGCATTTGGCAGGTTGGGAACCACTGCTGCTGAATATACCCTGGCTCCACTGATTCTAAACCCCCTGGGACTGCAGAAAGTTACTGCATCTAGTTTCCACCAAAAACAAATACCATTTTTCATTTGCTTTAAATACATTGAAAGAATAAACAGGTTGACATAATTCAATCCAGTGCCCAGATGGCAACATGGAGTCAGATAAACATTATACATTATTACATAAGGCTGGCAGCCTAGTCTTCCACATGGTATCAAAAGAACTGCACACACAATTCACATCTAAGCATGTGCTGCTATTAAGCTCAACTCCTGGGGACAGAAGAGCTAAAATAACAACCACTTGGGACTGAAAGAGTTCAAATAAACTCAAAAGATGTTTTATATTACATCTTCGCTACTTCTACAAATCACACACCTGTAGCATCGACTCCAATCTGGTTAAAAAAATCAACACTGTCACTATTTATGATCACTTGCTAAAACACTGGTATATAGCAGTGAAATTCTAAACTAACGGTTACATCGTGCTTGAAATGTTATAAACAAGTTTAATTATTGAGCACAAATAATTGATTTTAAAAAAGTCTAGTCATTAAACATACACACTCCAAAGATGTATCAGGTACATGTGCACCTGCACCCAAAAAAAGTTTGGTCAGTGTGCAATTCTTTTGATACCATGGTTGGAATTCTTCAGTCCAGCACGCCTGGCTTCTTTCAATAATGTTTAGAATTTGTGCTTGCCTGGAGAAACTGTTTGGGCCAAAAAAAATTATGTAAACACTTTGTTTAGGCCCAAAAAACAATGCCAGGAATGAGTTACATTTTATAGAAAATAATTTAAACAGGCGTAATGAGATCCAATTAAAAAAAAAGCAATAACATAAGCCTTCAACCATACTGTTCAAGAAATAAAATAAACAATATCTTAAATCTGGACTATTTCTGAGGGAAATCTGGCCAGGAAATGGCCCAACAAGTTACAACTCAACTTTATCCACAATTTGCGTCATTAGCTGTTGTAGATCAGTGCTTCTCCGGTCACCAGTTTGCAGAACTTCCTCGTGATTGGCCACATCCTCGGCATCGTACTCCATGATGACCTTGTTGGTGATTAGTGACATGCCAAATACTCTCATGCCACAATGTATGGCAACAAGGACTTCTGGCACCGTGCTCATTCCTGGCAGAACATAGAAAATATACTGCAGATTTTTAAAAATAAATTTTTGCGCACCATGATTATATTTGTATATGACTTGCTTCAAGTAACCTGTAACCGTTTAGAAGGGGCTATTCAACTAAATTTACTAATTGGCCACAATTTTCAAAATGGGGATCATCACGGTCCAGAGGCCTGAGCCCCAGTATAGAAAGATCCTTAACTCTTTGAGTCCTAAGAAACACATCATACATTCATAGGTTCCTACCTAGAAGCCCAATGAACGCATGATGCGCCGATTGTATTACTTTCTTTACTACCCCCTGGGCCTGTGATGCTAAACCCCCTGGGACTCAAAAAGTTAAGACAAAACAACTAGCAATGATCTGTGGGCCCATTGCTAGGCCTCTGTGAGCCCATTGCTAGGCCTCTGTGGGCCCATTGCTAGGCCTCTGTGGGCCCGTTGCTAGGCCTCTGTGTGCCAGATTTGGCCCATTGACTGCCAGTTTAATAGCCCTAGTTTAGAATATCACTGCAGTATACACCAGTGTTGTAGTAAGTGATCTTTGCTATTATGGTGTTTTTTGAAGAATTTTTGGTTTTGTTCCTTAATGGTATTAGGTATTTGAATGTGGTTGTTCAACAATTTATGAAGTAATGTCCTGATAATCGAGTGCCTCATTCTAATACTGTTAACAATGTAATGTACCAGTAGAATCGACTGAATAGAGCTGTAATGTGGAAAACAGTACCCAAAATAGGACACAATATATGTTGCATTAACTCCACAGACGGTGATTGCAACCTAAAAAAAAAAAAAAAAAATATATTCCCATTAAATTCAGTGATAAAGGTCACAGGATCACAGCATTAGGTCACCTAATACATGTTTTTTAAGGCCCGGGGGATGTATTCCATTAAATGCTACATGTTTATTGATTACTCCTTTCACAGACCTTTATATATTTCTAAAGGAATTTTTAAAAATGTAGATAAATACATTTTTTATGAATCTATTTTAGTGATTTAAGGAACACAAAATTTTTAATGGAGTTTGTTCCTTCTGGAATTCCAACAGGGTCATAACCTTTTGGGAGTCGGCATGGCGAAGCGGCTAGACGCTCGCCACGGATCAGAAAATCCTGGGTTTACTTCCTGGCGGAGCTGAACTTTTTTCAAAAATGACTTTGGTTCCCAGGTCAACCCAGCCTTGAGTGGGTACCAGGTGTAGTCCCGGGAAGTAAAGGTGGCTGGCATGAAGCCGACCTTATCACCCATCTTGTGCCGACTTGGTCTAGCCCTATATGCCCAAAATGGTCCTTTACTTACTTTTTTTACATGACTTTTATTTTTAGTGTTTCTGGCGTAAAAGGGGAATTTATAGTTCTTCTTAAATCAAATCAAAAGGCCTCTGATACTACTTCTCTACTACTTAAAATAAAATCACATACCTGTAGCGTCGATTCCAATCTGGTTTAAAAATCGGCATTCCGTCACCGTCTCAAAGTTGGGCCCAACCATCATGCTGTACACTCCTTCACGGACAAACTCTCCGAAACCCATTTCTTTGGCTGTGTTGAGAGCCAGTTTGCGAAGATCAAGGTCGTAGGCTCTGGACATGGCTGGAAATCTGGGACCAAACCTGTGAATTCACAAAAGTTGAACATCCTAACCTGCACAATCCGTAGCTATAGCACTAGCCATGCGGCACTAAAGCCTCAGGCTCACGACCCCCTGCCCCCCTCCCAACAACGCCCTAAAAAATACAGACAGTAGTGACAGTTTTATTATCATGGCAGACTGGCTAGCTCTGAACAGCTTGGTGGAATATTGATACATGATAAGGCAGACGGGGTTAGTGCCTTGTGGGAGAGTGTGTACAGTTTGGAGGAGCACATTGATCACCACAGTGTGGTGAGATTGATGCAGTTGGGGGTGGCGAGAGATTCTGGCAGAGGCTCGAGGCTCAGAGAAAAGGCAAAACGAAAGTTTAATCAGAATGCTACTGGCACCATTAGTATCGGAACTCTTCGCTAGCTGCTGAAGATGGGGACGGAGCGCTTATGGGAATGCCCCAAGTGCTGTGATGTCGGTTTTTGAATCAAATCAAATCATTTATCATGGACAACTCAACCTTTCTGACAAAATAACCCATGTTTACCACTATCAACACTTGGTTTATGGCAGTCGCCGCAAAAAGTGCTAACTTAGCAGCCATTCTGCCTTTCAAAAGGTGGCCTTGATCACCTTCGCCAGCTAGCTACTCACACACGCCAACAGCACTGTCGGCAACCTGCCAGATACCTTACAGTTGCATCCTCATACTGTGTTTTGTATATCACCCCAGAACTTTTTAAACACCATATCTTGTACAACAACCTACCTCTCATCATTGACACCGACAAGAGGATTAACTCCGGCAAACCCAGCCAGGTTGACATGATCCTTGATGACCATTATGTCCCCTACATTATAGTTCCTGTTGATGCCCCCGGCAGCGTTGGTGACAAACAGGGTGTTGATGCCCATCATCTTCATGGTGCGAACTGCCAGCGTTGTCTGTAGCAGAAACAAAATCACACAATACAGGTTTGTATACAATACTGTATATATAATATCTTCTTCTTCTTCTTGGCATTCACAGGCTGTAAACTCTTACAGAAAGTTCTGGTTGTTCATCCACCTCTGGACAAGACTTGTCTAGAACTTGAGTGCTGCGTGCATATCCATTTTACAGATCTGACTTATCTGTATGCAGACTGTTGGTTTCTTGCCTCTCAGACAGATGTGCTCCGACTTTGAAGGAAACCTCTAATTATTTTACTCTTATGACATGCTCGTTGGGGGGAAGCAGGGACTCGATGGGTGACGTGGTTAGCATCACGCCAGCTGCTGTTCATCCATCTCTTGATGTTGTCCTCCCAAGTGTATCACTGTCCACCTCTTTCTCTTGTGCCTTTGATGTTTCCCTCCAGGATGGTTTTTAAAAGAGCGTTATGTCTTTTACTGTGGCCAAAATATTTCAACTGTCTATTTTAATGCCTTTCAGTAACTTATTTTTTGTTTGCTATTATTATTATTATACACTATTTAATAAAATATTTCAAGTGCATCTATTCTTGTTTTCCCCAAAATGAGCCATGGAACCCACATGGGGAAATGGTGTCCCATTCCCATGAGTCCATCCCAATACGTTTATCATCCATGTCCTGTTTGCACACATCTTCATATCATAATGTTAACATCTTTTATCTATCTGTAATTCACCACAAAGGATGCAAACATACATTTTTTTAAATACTCACCTTCTGGGGTGAGTAGCCTTCATAACAATGAGCACGCCCCTGCATGAGAACTACACTTTTCCCACTGAGTTTTCCAAACACCAGCTTGCCTTCATGGCCAGGTACTGTTCAAAAATTAATCTCATTGTGTGTTAGGTTTGTACATTTGTCAATGCTGTTGGAGTTAACTAATTTGCAGGTCAATGAGTACAGACCAAACTCATCATCACAAATCATGTAGCAAACCCTTGCTCATCACGGTCTGCCTAACAAACATCAAACTTCAATTTTTAGACTTCGGACTGGACACTGTGGTCTTTGAGCACACCTGTACAGGATAGGCATAAAAGAATCTGCTGCCTGTGATTGTGGAGCAGAAAGACAGACCCCTGAGAACATACTGCAGTACTGCCCTTACCTCTCCCAGCAAAGACTGTGGATCTGGCCCAGGGGATCCACATTGCAAGAGAAGCTATGGGGGACCGGTGGCGACCTTAAACGCACAATCCTATTTTTGACCCAGACGGGACTCAATGTGTAGCATGACTGATGTCGAACGCAGAAGAAGAAAACGGTCTGCCTGAATGAAACTCGGTCTCTCGCCAGCTGTCCCGCCTCATGTACTTTCATATTCAAGGAATCGCTTATATCCTGTGCCCATCTTTACGTTAGTCGGCCCCGGTCCCTCCTTCCTGGTACCATGCCAGACCAAACTAAGAAAGACAAATGCAGACATGAACCATAAAGGACCTACTACTGACATGCGAGTTCATAGAGGCAACCCACGTAATGGTCTGATCTGAGCATATGAAACCGAACGCAAAGAAGAAGAAAATGCAAACATGCTCAGGAAAGAGATCCCATGTCTGAGGAGTTGGCATGCCGGTGGAAAACACTGTATGGATCAGTGTCAAGACACGCTTCACACTGGAACCTTCAGAAAGGCCTGTGGCCTTTTCCTCTGAAAACCACTGGCAAGGAGAGTGAAAATAAGAAATCCCTCTGCTTTCTTAATATCTTACCCCAAACAGGGGAAATCCACAGGTCACAGGAAAGTCTAATATTTCAGGGGGTGGTAGATAGGCTGCATGAAGTTGTGGGACCTAGGCTGCATGCAGTTGTGGGACCTAGGCTGCATGCAGTCGTGGGACCTAGGCTGCCCTCTATTGTGGGACGTCAGTGGGTTGGGGTTGGGGCCAGTTTTAGATGATCTGGGGTCGTTAAAAGCATCGGAAAGTCAGAAAACCCAGTCTTACCATACTCTAAAATTTTGAACTGTCCCCGGACGTCATCTGGGGTAGGATATTACGAAAGAAACGAATTCCCTTTGCGGGGAAAGTAGAACAGACCCACTGCACCCCTAACAAGCATGTCGTTAGAGTCGACTAATTAGGAAGGTAATATTACCATAGAGTGCAGCGGACACATTGCAGCCAATCTCTAATGTTAAGAATGAAAGGGTTAATTACTCACTTAAAAATAGTATTAATCCCAATCCACTGTCGCTCCAGAAATAAAAAAAACAATATGCTTTTTAACTGCACTTTAAAAACACAATTTTTGTATCTTTCATCATCATCATCATCATCATCCCATAACAGTGTGTGTCGTTGGGTCACCAGCTGCAGTTGACTGATCAGCTCCCTTCACCTTTGATGTTCAGATGCAAAGGACTTCATGGTCTAAGTATTGTCCAGTCGGTCAATTTCTTTATCTAGATCTTTCTTGGTCTGCCTCTTCTCCCCTTTCTCTCTACTGAGCCCTGTAGTGTTTTTGAGAGGCCGTTAGATCTTATAACATGTCTGTACCATTGCATTTTCAGTGTTTTCACTATAGTTAAAAGAGGTTCATAGTTACCAAAGTGCTTGGTAATTATATGGCAAACCTTGTAATTTGTGATGCTGTCTCTGTATGATATCTTCATCATCAAGTGCCTAGCCAGCTGGCATAGGCTTTCATGCGTCGCCACAGATCTCGGTCTTTGGTGTTCTGGATAAATTCTACTGATGATATTCCTCCATGCCACTGTCTTAAGCCATCCACTATCATTTTTCTTGGTCTGCCTCTGCTACCAGTGTTCCTTTTCTCATCACATGACCAAAGAACTGCGTTTATCTCCTTCTCATTGTTGTATATGTTCTACTTTCACTGTATGGTATGCCAAGAATTTTTCTGAAAGATCTCATTTCCAATGCTTGTATCTTTCTAGTTCAGCTGTAAAGGTGTGTGTTTCACAGCAATTTGTAAACATACTAATAACTAGTGTTCTGAGCAGTTGTAGCTTTGTTTTACATGAAATTTTGGATCTCCATAGTATTTGCATCTTTCAAAATTGTAATTTTTACAATGACATCAGATTTGAATATTCTCTAATACCTGTGCTGGATGGGAACCCAGGAATCTCAGTGTATGGAATGACTTCCCGCTCCTGAACCAGATCAGCCAGTTTCCCCAAGCCTGAGCCACAAATAATTCCTAGCTTTGGTCGGCATTTCACTCTGTCTAAAATGTGACTGGCTATTTGTTCCACATCTTCGTAGGTGAAGCTGTAGAATAATAAACATATACAATGACATTAAAAAAAACAATGTTTCCCCATTATAAATTGTAATAAAGAAGACTCCAACAATGTTTCCCCATTGTAAATTGTAATAAAGAAGACAGACAATGTTTCCCCATTATAAATTGTAATAAAGAAGACTCAAACAATGTTTTCCCATTATAAATTGTAATAAAGAAGACAGAAAATGTTTTACTATTGTAAATTGTAATAAAGAGGACTCAAACAATAGATTGAACAATTTATTGCCTGGCATATTTTGTTGTATCTCGTATACAGTATGTGTGTAGATATATATGCACACACGCACTATATATATATCATCATGTAGCAGATCCTTTGCAGAACGCCGCTCTCATCACAGTCTGCCTGAAAGAAACTCGGTCTCTTGCCAGTTCTCCCACCTCATGTACTTTCATACTCAAGGAGTCATTTATATCCTGTGCCCATCTTTGTGTCGGTCGGCCCCTGCCCCTCCTTCCTGGTACTATGCCTTCTGTTATAATTTTTTTCCAATCCGCTGTGGCGCTTGATATGACCAAAATATTTCAGTTTCCGAGACAGGATGCTGTTTATTAGCCAATTTTCCTTGATGTTCAGATCTTTCAAAATGTCAGTATGTCTCCTCTTCTTTGTCCAAGATATTCTGAGAATCTTTCGATAGCATTTCAGCTCAAAAGCCCCTATTCTCTTTCTTAAGGAATTTGAGAAAGTCTACGACTCACATCTGTATTAGCCACAGGGAAGATGCATGCTCTCACAATTATAATTTTGATTTCCTTGCTGGTGCTTAACCAAAGACTTTTAAGGCTGTTCAATATTTGCATTGCTATGGCCATCCTCCTTTTAATTTATGTCAAACAGTCTCCATTGCTGTTTATTATAGAGCCTAGATATTCAAAGTTTGTGACATTTTCAATTTCTTCATCATTTATTATTTTTGGGTGACAGCCAGTTTTATCTGTGGACATTATTTTAGTTTTTTTTTTTTTAAAATTCAAGAACAGATTTTGATTTTCACTGTGCTTTTCGACAGACAATATTAAATTTTCTTTTCCTTTCTATATAGATACATATACGCACACTATATATACATACGGTAGCATGCAGCTGACAATATACAGCGTAATATAAGCAAGTTGAAAAGGAAAGGGCCCTTTTCCGAACCTTCAGGCATATAGGGCATTTAGGGCTAGACCTATATTTTTATAAACCAATCGGCACAAGATGGGTGATAGACCTGACTAAAAATTTTGAGCTAAAAAAACTGGAGGTCTGCTTCTTCTTCTTTCTTTTCTTCTTTTCTCTACTCCTGGAAATCCTCCCGACGTCAGGGTAAGAAGAGTTCTCTGAAACGAGTCCTTCTGTTCGCTTCGTATATATTACTTTTGAGCGTCTATGATATTTGTGCAGTCCATCTTTTGTGTGGTCAATCTCTGGCTCTGTTACCAATATATCTGCATATTACTGCTCTCTGTGGTCCCTGTCCTCCTGAAAAAAATGTTCTCCAGATATGTAAATTAATTCGCCTGTTTTAACTAGTGTTCATCAATTTTATATTGGATTATTGGTGTTAATGAACTGCTTGTACACTGACATTAACGATCCTCATTTGAATGACCGAAAAACGTTTGGTCAATGTAATATACCTCCCTAATATTATATAATATAATATTAGTAATATTTCTGACTGTACCTCTAAAAATAGTTGTTTCAAATAACAAAACAAACAGAATAAATAAAGTATTACAAATTTACAAAGTCCTGCTGACACACGGGGAAATCACGATAAAAACCTCAATTTAGTATCAATAGACGAATCCATCCGCCGAAGTAAAGCCTTGTCTTTCGACATGATAACAAAATTCTGCAACAGGAACAGCAGAAAACGGTGAAACTTGTGGATAATGTGAAGAAAATGTCACAAGTGAAGACAGAAGAAGCCAGGTCACTGGTCCCGTCTAGCAGAAGTCGGACAAGTTTCGACAACAGTGTTGCCACTTTTCTTTGACAAAAAATATCCAAAACGGTGTCAAAAAATATCTAAAAAGATCTGAATCTCCGTGGAAAAGATCTAGAAAAACATCCAAATTGAAAAAGTCAAAAATTACATAGCTTTTGTTATGACTTACTCTACATAATCATGTCCTCACCTTTACTGATGTCTGCCTCACAAGATCCACAGGATAAACTTAGCTTGGATAATGAAGTTGAAGCTTCAGATCCAAAATGACCCTGGTTTGCTTTAGCTGTTCAAATTTCTTTATAAGTGGAACAGTAGGCTTATTTCTCTAGTCTCATCGGCCGAATTTTAATGGCACGATAGAATTTAAGAGGTCAAATTTCATCCTGTGTTTTAGGTTAGATTTGATATAATTCCTAGCACTGAAAACTCTTTCTACGTCAGCATTTGAGTGGCAGTATCATGGCAGACATGACACTTTAAAGAGCTTACAGAATGGACTGTTTGATGAGGCATCTTTAAATTGTCTCACTTCACTCCAAAACGCTTTAGTTTCTGTTTTGTTTGTTTCATCACTGTACATTCCATATAGTATTTCAGCTGTGTAGCACTTTTCACTTTGTCTTGTTATTTCAAAGTGTGTCTTCAACTTCAGCCATTGCTTCATAATTCTTTCAACAGCTGGTTAAATTGATAACCATCTAGTTTTGCAATCTGACAGAATTTTCGGTGGTGTGAAACCATCATTCAAGGCTGTATATAATGCATTGTACTGCTGTTGTCTGACAAATGATTTGGAAAACTAGTAAAGTTTTTCAGCAATAAGGTATTCCAAATTCCTTGGTAAATATTTAGATGAAGCATGTGATAATGCTAGCTGCAATGAATGACGCATACATTTTATAAGTATTAACGATGGGTTAGCTTCCTTCAACTTGGCATAAACGCCATTGTTTATACCAACCATCACTGAGGCATTATCAGTACCAATTACAGCCAAATTCTTCAAGCCTAACTGTTTGCTGATTAAAAGGTCCTTCAGTTCCTAAACTATACTTTCTACATCACACTTTTCAAATCGAACTAGTCCAAGATTTTTTACAAATCGATCAAATGGTCACAGTTTGAAATTGCGCAGTGACAAATTAAAAACATTGCGACTGATACTTCAACTTTTGATGATTCATTTATCAGTATAGTTATGAAAACAGATGTCAGCGGTGTAATATCTTTAAATGAAACTGCAGTTTTATGCTTTTATAGTCTCTGCATGACTCTTTTGAGTTTTGTATTTTCGCTTCAATTTCACACTTGCAGTGCTTACAACAAGCTTTGGTCATATCCAATTTTTTTTAATTTTGTCATCATGCAACCACTATTTCCAAATTCTTTGCTCATACTTTACTTTTGGCATGTTGAAAGGTTTTTTCAAAGTGAAAGCCACATAAGAAGGTGAGCAATTATTTTTTAAAACTCACATGAAAAAGAAACGCAAAGTCAGCACAGTGAGGATACGGTTGAAACAAAGTTTGTATGATTCACGCGCGTTTTTATTGATCAGTACCGGGACTGCCAGATATTTGTGCCTTGACCCCAATGAGAGTTCAAAATTCAAATAATGGCAGTTGTCACAATGTACGTGCCAGACCAAAACAAAAATATTGTAGTAAATATTTTACACAGTAATTATTAAATTGACAATGAAAGAAAAAAATCTATAAAATATCTAACTCCATATGAATAGATTCTGGAAAAATATTTACGATCTAAACGTCAAAAACAGTATCTAAATGCAATAAAAAAGATCTAAATTTGGAAATAAAAGATCCAAAGTGGCAACACTGATCTACAACACAGGGGAGTCGAGTACAACATTTTGTAGAATCGAGTCTGAGAATATCCGGAATCGTTTACTGCTAGCCAATCAGAGAAGAGGATAGAAGGAAAACGCGGGAATTTATTTACAGGGTTTTCTTATCATCATCATCCAGCGGCGCTGGTCATAGGGTAGGCATTTGTGGGCTCCGGTGAGCTTAAGCTCACTTAACAAATAATAATAATAATTATTATTATGTACTTAAATTAGACTTATCTTAAGGCAATATTTGTAATCCTTTACCCCTAAAACACCATGTAAGGCTGGCTCCCCAACCTAAATATTTTTTCGTGTTGAAATCAATAAGGCACACCAGGGTAGCCGGGTAGCCCTTTGGTTGGCCGATAGACGACTTCGCTGCAGGTTGGGACAGTATTTGGATCTGTCTCCTGTGATCACATCAACACTGCAACAGTTATGTTCAGAGCTACGTGGTGGCGAGCAATGCTAAGTCATTTTATATGCCTCACATAACCTCGTCACAGTTATTACCTAAAGCTTCCCCTACAGAATTGTTGGTTAAACGTGACGATTTTTTTTAGCAAAGCAACGGAACGGAACATTATTACATTTCACGTATCGTTGGCAGGACGACCTTGGGTTACGCTACTAAAACACGCCAAAGTTACCTCTGTTTTGGTTTCATGGTCTGGTGCAAGGATGTTTTGTTACTCATTTTTCTGTATCTGTTGTCTACTGCCTGCCTGAAATATAAGCATTTTAATACAGTTAGCAATATGCGGTTTCAATCAACAATACGTGGTCAAATAAAGCAAAACAAGATCACTTACAACAATACAGTGTCACACAGTACAACACGAGGTCACATAAAATTATACAAGGTCACACACAACAGTACAAGGTCACACAAAATAATACACGGACAATAAACAAATAAGATCACGTACATCATTGCAAGGTCACACACAACAATGCAAGGCAACACACAATAATATAAGGTCAGGTACATCAATACACTGTCACACTCAACAATAGAAGTTCACACAACAATAAAGGTCACACACAACAATACACGGTCACACACACAACAATACTAGGTCACATACAACAATACAAGATCACACACAATGAACAAGGTCATAACCAAAAATAAAGGGCCACTTTCAATAATACAAGGTCACATACAACAAAATACAGTGTTAAAACATACACCAATATAAGGTCACATACAATAATATTTATAGTAGCATACAACAATTTAAGGACACATACAACAATACAAGGATACATATAACATTACTAGATCATATTACAAAATACAAAGGTCCCATACAACAATATAAGATCACACACAACAATGTTTACTAATACTAACATACAGCAAAAAAAAGTTACAACATTACCATATTAATATACAACAATATAAAGTTACATACAGCAATACATAGTAACACACAGCAGTACGAGGTCACATATAATAATGAAGACTAGAGAGTCATGATCGTTGACCCTGTTACCCAGAATAATGGAGAACAAAAACTGTCGCTGGTTGCCATGGAAACGGTAATCATGGAATTGTAAACAATTAAGGAAATCACAATCGGTATTTATGTTTTTGTGAATCAAAGTCATCATTTTGAGAATTTATTTCATAATAACTGTATTCTGCCAATTATGTGGCTTTTCGTATGGAAGTAACCCTGATTTTAGAATTAGGCTGCTGTCACCCATTTGAAATCAATACAGTTATCGTCGCTTTGGTGTAAATCAATAAGCCAAGTGTTTTTGCTGCGTTAATAAATTTTATCGATCAAGCTGTGCCAGTGTTCCAGATAGCTGAGTTAAGGGGAAGAACAGACATCAAAATACTCGATACATTTCTATAAGTGCCGGTCCTCCTCTTTTTAGCAGCGAGCACAGAATTCTGATCGTACCTGAGTTCTGATTCCCCTGAGTGTTGAGCGTAGGCCAGATCCCTTCCCTGGCAACTCCTCGCAACGCCATTCTCCTCAGACCGTAATGATCTATCTGCACTGTTCATTCGCCCCCAAAAGGCGCCCCACAACGCCTAGCTTGCAATACAAGCATATTACAAGAAGTGTAGCCAAACAAAAGCACTATGCGGAAAGTCAAAGAAGATTAAGAAACCAACACAGGACTGGTACCATCAGCCGCTACACACTGCGGGACTTACTGAGAAAGATTCTGAGCACCTATGGACTGAATAGTCTGATGTGATGTGAGGATAATCTGTCGACTATGAGACCGGTTTGAACAACTTACCAACATCATGGCACACGGGTAGTAACCCATAAGTTTTCCGTCCTTTTTCTAACTCAAGTTTAAGTCAGAGGAAGCTCAGCACATCGCACAGACTCTGTAGTACCGACGAGGATCCTGAAATACTTTGGGTAGATTTCTAACTACAAATTTTTACCCGGGTAGCGCCGTTAGGCTACTCTTTTCGATTTCCAACTGGCTATGGTTTTTTTTTTTTTTTTTTTACATTCGCAACAATGTACACGGGCGTCCGATCTCACTACCCAGAGACCAAGGGGAATTACTAGAAGTCCAAGTCCACGTGAAAAGATCTCAGTTTTTACCTGGGATTGAACCCGGAACCTCTAGCACTCGAGGCAGACACCATGCCTCGAGACCACGCAGCCACGTTTTTGTCGACTAACTTACAATTCACAGCAGTTTTCTAAGTATTTTTTTATACTCTTCAAATTAAATACTCGTATTTATTTGAATAAAATTATTATTATCATCATCATTTTTAAGTCATTACGAAAGGATAAGGAGTCGCAGTGGCGTAGCGGCTAGACACACGGTTGCGGATCGGAAGGTCGTGGGTTTTGCTTCATACGTTTTTCAAAAAATGATATTGACTCCCAGGTTGACCCACCTTGAGTGGGTACCGGGAAGTAAAGACGGCCGGTGTGACGCTAACCACCCACCCTGTGCCGACTGGTCTATAAAAATATAAGTGTAGCCCTATACGCCAAAAGACGTGGAAAAGAGACATTTTATTTTTTGTTACATTTAGAAAGAA